CTCTCTAATTATCTGTAAGACATAAGGCATATAGAAGGCGATTTAAGGACTTTCTCTAGTAATATAATTCCCTGAGCTTCCACATAGGAAATAGCAAAGGGAATTCCTCAGAACACCAGGCCAGATTTTTTTGCTCATGTACACATTGTCTAACCACAGTGTGAAGAGTTAAGATTAAAACTGTGGCAAGAATGTCACTGTCTGCTACAGTCCAAGTCAAGGACTACAGGAGATAAACTTGGGACCATTTAAAAAAAATAAACCTTTTCAACCTTTCATTCTCTTTTCCCTTCATTCCAGGCATTTTCTAGTGCCAAAGAAACATGAACTTAATGACTTAGATTTATTCATTCACCTAACAAACATATACTGTATACAAAGTGCACTGTATGTGTTCCTAAGAATGTAGCCCTTGCCCTCAAGGAGTGTACAGTCTAGTAGGGTATATGATATGATCAAGGTTAGGACTTCCTGAAGGCCCCAAATTAGGATTCCAAGGTCTTCCATTCCTAGAGTCTGGAAGCCACACTCCCCCATGAAAGGTCAAAAGAACACCTTGAGACTGAATCTAATGTAGGTACAATCCAGAAAACAAAAAAAAAACACCACCAACACTTCTAAATTCTGTTTTTAGTTCTGGGATAGATGGATTTTCTAGGTGCCTTGATTTTAAGTCCTACCGATAGAGCATGCCACTAAAGACAGTTTCCTATTTTACTGGTTCCTAAATCTCAGTTATCTTACCACTTAGGTACAAATGGAATGTCCAGATCTTTTCTTCTTTCTGTTTGTTGAATCCTACCAATTAAAACAACAACAATGACAATGACAAAGACTACAATGCCACCTTCAAAAAACCTTAAAAAACATATGAATATTGTTAATTGTTGTTACATGTGTTTGAATATTTTCCTTCTACTAGGCTGTAAGTTTCATGAGAAGAGAATTTGTGCCAATGTAGTAGAAAGAACACTAGATTTCAAAGCAAAAGACCTGAATTTCAGTCCAGTAATAGCAAAGAGGCTATTCAGCAAATCCTTTAGTCTTCCCATATGAAGAGGTGGGTATTTGTATTAACTCCACAAAGACTTATTGTGAAGAAACCATTTTGTAAGCCTTAAACCTCTGTACAAGATGCCCCAAAAGTGTTATTGTAGTCTTGAATTTAATTATTGATTGATTATTAATTAATTAATGATTAATTCAATAAATTATTGAATTTATTTAAGCTATTGTAGCTTTAAACCTGCACTAAGATTTTTGGGATACTCAGTATGTGTTAGTCTTACTTAAACTCCAAATTTCCTCTTAATCTAGTAGCGTTCTGCCTGCAGGATATGATTCATACATGTTTGTTGAATGAATAAATAGATATATAAAAAAAAACCAAGGTGATTAGTTTATGGGAGATCCAAATAAGGTACCATATTTTGGTCCAAATCTTGTTAGTGTCATTTATCATAGAATCCACTCTGACACCACAAGGAACAAAACATAGCCAATTCTCAGAGTTGTTAATGAGGATTAATGAGACATATCTGCTAAGGTTTTGTTTGTAGAGAGAAAGTTAAGTGGAAAGCAGAGACAGAAAGATAATTTTGACCAAAAAAAAAATTTATGAGGGGAAAAGGGGAGTTTTTCCCATATAAGTTATTTTGCTGGTCTATATCATCTGAATTGACTAGGTTATGTCTTAGCTTTCCATTTCACTAAATCTGATCAAAGTCAGAAACTAAGCACTAAGCCCTACTTAGACTGCTCTCCTGCAGGTGTGAATACCTGGTAACCTTTAAGACTAATTGTCCAAGTCAGGTGCCATGTAGAGGTTTCTACAACACTCCATTAAAACAATCTGAGAATGCAGGTGATTCACATCTTTGCTTATTTTCAGAAATTCCAAAGTGACATCTGTGTGAAAATTTCATGTTTCTGTGAGTCCGGAAAGCAAAAATTGTTCATTATTCATTTCCCTAACAGTATAACATTGGCACAAAATACTAAGGTTCTACTGACATCTGCTGGCATTTCACCAGATTATTTTTGGAGGGAAAAAAAAAAAGAAAGCAAAGAATCCAGCAATTTGTTAAGTTTTCACTATTATTTACTTTCTGAATTAGGTTTCATATTCATTTGACAAGAGATGGGGAGGACTACAATGAAGATGAATTGAAGAGATTGTGATAGGCCATGATGAAGTCCATATAACATGATCTAAACGAAACAGAACTTCACAGGAAAACAGGACATCTGATTTTCTTGTTCTGGGATCATTTCATTGGTTCTGACACAATCTAGTTACTGTGTGACCGTCACTTTTCTGGACCTCAGTTTCAGCAGCTGAGGGCGGGGACTGGTATATGACTTCATCTTTGCATACCCAATGCTCAGCAGGGGCATAGAGTAGTCATTTAACAAATATTTGTTTAATTGAACTATATCGGTAAAATGAGAAGTTGAATCAGATCAAATATCTTGAGAATATCGATGCCCATTTTGTTATATCCCCCTCAGCCACAAAGTAGAGGAGACATTACTGAATTAAAAGATCTGTAAAACCTCCTCCAGCTGTTCTGAAGTTCCCTAGCCACTTCATTTAAAATGAATTAGATTCCATAGTTAAAATACACAGAATAATTAGAAAAGGGTTTTTGGGGGAAGGAAGCGAAGGAAAGGTAGCTGTCGTCAAATATTTGAGGAGCTGACCTATTAAAGAAAGAAGAATTAGATTTATTCTGTTTGGTACCATAGATGTCAGCCATAAAGAAGTATATTTGGCTTAAATAATAGAAAACATTTTACCAGCAATTAGAGTTATCCCAAAGTAGGATGGGACTCTTTGGGAGAGAATGAGTTCCCCCTCATGGGTAGTTTTCAAACAAAATCTGAACAATCATTTCTCAGGTATGTTGTACGGATAGTTCTTTTTTAATTAGGCACTGGACTATATGACCACTAAGGTCTTCCAACCACTGAAGTTCTGAGGTTCTGGGATTTTTTAAAAGTGCATTCAAAACCTAGCCCCTATGTTCATTTGAATGGTAACTAATATTTTCTGTTGTTCTTATTCAGTCATTTTCAGTCATGTCCAACTCTTTATCACCCCATTTGGGTTTTTCTTGGCAAAGATACTAGATTAATTTGCCATTTCCTTCTTCAGCTCGTTTTACAGATGAGGAAACTGAGGCCAACAGGTTTAAGTGACTTGCCTGAGGTCACACACCTAGTAAGTGTCTGAGGCCAGATTTGAACTCATGAAGATGAGTCTTCCTTACTCCAGGTCCAGCACTCTGTCCACTGCATCACCTAGCTATATGAGTGGCTAAATTGCAAGGAACAGAAAGAACAAGTGAATGAATTCAAAACTTGGAAAATTGGGAAAAGAAACTGGCAAATTCATTTATTTTAGTTTTGGAAGCTGCAGCATACCTCTAAATTAAGAAGCAATTTGTCTCTTTTACTACTGAACAGATCATGTAGGCTTTTTATGTCGAATGTGGGGAAGCTTCATGGGCCTGCGATTAGTGAGGTCAGTAAGGAAGGACTCACTGGTCCCTAGTGAGGTGTTTTCATACTGAGTTTTACATAGGACGTAAAGTCTGATGATAAACACCTCGAGGCTGTTTTGTCTTTTATTTATTTCTCCTATCTCATAATCCAAACGACTGTGTATGGTTTGTTCAGGCTCTCCGTCCTGTTTAGCATGTGTGCTTCTCTGTCCGCACACCATGGCTTTTTGGGTTGTCATTTAAGATTCTCAAGGCATTCCTGATGTAGCAGTTCCTTTTTTAAGTCTAATCAGAGGAAGATGCATCTGGTATGTCCCTCATCTTCCCTCAAAATGATGCTGGTAGTGATATGTTAAAAAAGAAAAGAAAAGAAAAGAAAAGAACATTAGTACTTTTCTGTACCAATGCCTCATCTCCTCACTGATGGTTATTCCATTAACTTTGCTAGGGTCTATGAGGTCTTACCCACAAATAAACCACAAATAATTTGTGCTTTTCAAGTCATAATAGATTCAAAACATTTTCCCCTCGTGAAGGTAGAATAATGACCATTCATATTGTGTACCATTGAAAATGATCTCCACGGGCTTGGGCTATGATCCATTTTAATCCATCACCCATGTCCATTTGATTAAATAACATTTTACTAAGGGTTATATTCTTTCCCTAGGCTCACATGTGTGGCTTCCCTTGATGTCAGTAGGAGCCATGTGCATGAGCCTAAAGGCAAAAGTTGGCTTTGGTTCACAGATTGGCACTTACTAGTATAATGGTCTACATAGATCAAATCCCTTTAAGGCCATACATAACCTTTCCACTGTTTTCTTTGTAAATCTCTGAGGTAATGGCTGAACTGCTGCTGAAGACTAAATCCTAATACAGAAAGTATGTAAGCACTGTGTGCTATTAGCTCCTAGGCATCCTCATGAACACTGGAATATTTTTCATTTTAAGACTCTTCTGGGAAAGAAAGGCAGGTAGATTATGCAACAGACTGCTAGATTAGGATGAAATCCCATAACAAATTTGGTCTGCCTCTGAGTTTCAAGAAATTATTCATTTTCTAAACTGGGAATATTTAAATATGTCATCACTTATGGTATAATATTGTTTAGGAATTACTGAAATTGCCATTAACTGAATAAAGAAGGTCTTGTACTTATTCAAGCTGTAAAGAGAGGAGCTAATAAATCTATCAGAGGACAGCTTTCCATTGTTGGTGACCTACTATTTAATGATGGTTCAGATGCCACATTTATGTGGCTGGAAAGAATGAAAACCATAACCCCTGTTTATTAAAGAATGAAATATGAAAGTGCAAAATGTAAAAGGGAGAGTTGGAGCCAAGGGATTATAGAAATGCTATTTAAGTTAGTTTCTGTGAAGCCGAAAAAGTCTTCTTTTAGGACAAAAATCAAATAAAAATTAGATCACTTAATTTTTTTTCTCTTAGGTTCCCTCATTAAGTTCATTTTCATTTTCTTTTTCTTCCAGCAATGGGTAGAAGGGTTAAGAGCCATCATACATAATTTTAGAGCCAACAATGTTAGTCCAATGACATGCCTCAAGAAACAGTGAGTACTTTTTCTGATTGTTTCTTTTAAAATTGAGAATGTTGTTTATCATACACATATGTGTGATATAGACATATGTTGAGAGAGAGAGAGAGAGAAAGACAGAGAGAGAGAGAGAGAGATGCATCTGTGTTTGTTTTTGGTTGTCATTAAATAGATGGTCAAAGTTGGAAATAAGATGATCTTTTGTGTCTAACCTGAGTCCTGTTCCCCTTCTCCATCCATACCTAAACCATGAAACTGTGGAATTGACTAATATAGTGGTTATATATTAGCATTATAAGGGCATATTTTGACATAATAAGCTTTTCTACCTGGCCTAAGCACTTCTGTGCAGCACATATGAAGCCTTGAAAAGGGGCAATGTTCAGTCTAGAGAACAGTTAAGAAAACTTACTCACCCAGAATTTTCTGGGAGTTTGCTCTTTGGTACATGTGTAAGCTTTTCTAGTCCTTCTGATGACTGAGTCTGAATATCTAGGAACAGATCTTTAGACACAATCCAGCTCTTTTCTACTTGCAACTAATGGGAAATTAGAGCCTTGGAAAAGATAAACTATCAGAATGCACATTGCTAGCACCTTCTTGCTTGACAAAGCACAAGTAAGGCCAATCCCTTGGCCCTTTGCCATATCACTGTTGCTACCCTCCTAATCCTCAACCTTGGGTCACCCCCCACCTTCTACCTTCTCTATTCACAAGCTGCCAAGCTGAGTAAGGTTTCTCATTACAGAGAATCAAGGATGTTCTGCCACTCTGACAATGGCATCCTAGACCTCTAGCAGAGCTAGGAAACTTTGTAGAGAAGTCAATTTACTGCTAGAGCTTAACTGCACAGTTGTACTACCAATGATCCATGTTGGTATGATGAAATACAAAACTCCAAGAAAATGATCTGCTTGACAGATTCTCATAATGAATGCTGTTTAATGGGAATGCCAAATTCTCTGATTAATCTATAGGATTCAATTTTAATCTTTCAGTTTCAAAGTAATTGAGTTTCTTTGAATAAGCATTCAATTAGTTACTGTTTATTTTTTACAACACAAAATTAAGTAGATTGAGATTAGTTTCCCAAAGAAACAGTTAACCATTTTTTTCTGAATTTCAGCTGGATGAAATTGGCATTTATGACAAACACAAATGGTAAAATTCCAGTTAGGAGGTAAGTAAATAATTTATGTATACCGTCTCTCACTATTTTTACTAGTCTATTGTTAGAATCCTAAGAGTTAGGATGTTAGGTAATACCTTACCTAGAATGGTATTAGGATGGGTGTGTGTATTTAGCCACACTTTTATCTCTAGCAAATCACAGCATCTCAGAACCATCTTCTCTTTATATACTTTATCATAAAAAACTACTTATGAAAATTCACTCTATTCTTTCTAGAATGTTATCTTCAGACTAGAATGGAAGAGTAAATTCCAAACTCTGATGAGAATGAGGAACACGGGAAACCTGACTTCATTTCAAACTTCAAAGAACTAGGTTTAATAGGACTTAGACTTTTTTTATCCTTCAGCGCAAGGCATGTTCATCTCTTTTCTCTATGTTGATTTTTGAAGGTAGCGATAGAGGTGTGGAGATGACTTTAAGCTTGGATGCTAGGGATAGCTCTTATCCAAATCACCTGAGCATCTTTTTCTATTTATTTTTAAGAACGAATTGGTAGCTATAGAAAGTTGTTTGCATACAGGACAACCAAATTCCAGAATAATGTTTTTATTTCAAATCCTAGAATTAATTCTTACCCATGTAACCCATCCACTGTTTTCATAGTTCCCCCAACCGAAGATGATCCTTCAAGGTAACCTACTAGAAGGAGAATCCTAGAACTGGCCTAATTCTTACTGATGAGTCTTCTGATAACAAATAGAGTGAATAGTGGTATATGGTTCTTTGCTACTAAAGAAAATGTTGCTATAAATATTTTATGTATATATGTATATTTGTGTGTGTGTGTATATATATATATATACACAATGTATTTTTGTATGTAGACATATATATTTGATTACAGAGTCTTATATTTTTGTATATATATATGTATTGTATATAAGGGCATATGGTATGTATCTGAATGTCTTTGACCTCCTTGGAGTGTATATATGGCAGTGGGATCACTAAGTCAAAGGACCAACCCTTAATTTTTGAAAAAAAATTTTTATGTGTAAGAATGATATTAGCATTATTCCCATGTTTCTACTCTCAAGTAATTTAGTAACATGAACTAGCTTCCATAATATATTATGACATCTCAAATACTCAAATGATCCCCTATTTCCCTTGTATGAGTGCATCCTGTACCTATGTGGAATGAAGCCCTTCTCTGTCTGTTGATATCTTGAATTCCCATGATGGAAGAAATTGTGTTCAGACCTTATGGCATTGATCATCTCTGAATTTATAACAGGGCTGTTGCTAGAGTTAAAGCTATTGAATCTCTTGATGTGCTATGCTCAAATCCTCTTCAGACCAATGGTTCCTACTTGTGTTCCACTGGTATAGTCTTCCAGAACTCCAGATTACCTTCATACCACAAAGGTGGAGGGAGTCATTCCACAATGGGGAATGCTTTAGTGAGGGAAATACAGGGGGAAAGTAGGAAAAGTGCAAAGAAAGGAACACTATTTGAGTGCTTTTTAAAAATTCTTCTTTCAAGTTCTCATCTTGTAATAAATTCCTCGGTTGACAAATGTTCATTAACAGTTTTCTATTCATTTTGCTTAACTTGCAAGTGAATGTTTTATGCCTAGTTCAGAAATTTTAAAAAATAAACTCATATTTAATAATTTTTGAGAACACTTTAGTTAATCTTTATTTTATTCAAAACACTTTGTTCATTTGAGTTATGGTAGCATAACTGTTTAGTATATCCCAGTGTCCTGAATCTATAGCTAAATAAACAGTGCATTTCTTATTTAAAATCAATATTGAAAAAGTTATCTAAACTTTGTGGGAAAAATTATATTGTGAAGCTCAGAAATGCAACTTGGAACTATGTTAATAGATAAATAGATCTATGTAAATAGATAAATGTGTATAGCTTCCAAAACAAGGTTTATTCCAGAACATGGACAAAAGTGAAGCAAATAGGTTGTGATTGGGCCACTTCTTAACTAACCAGTATAGTTTCATTGTCAATAAATCTCCTACTCACTCTCATTGTTGTGCAGGGTCTAGAGACTTTTGTGATTCATGTGTGATTCATATCTTTTTCTGGGCTATTTCCATACAAAATCATTATTATCTTTATAAAGTAAATAACTAAGGTATTTTGGCATATACCACAGACCTATGTAATCTTGGCTCGTGGCTTTTGATGAACTGCTCATGCCAATATTAACAGGTGCTTGACACAGGACATCTGTTATTTGGGAGTGGAGGAAAGGGGCAGGAGAGAGGAGTTTATTGGAGTTGATGGAAGATTTTTACGAGGCCAGAAATTGTGGAAGGATCTTCCGGTGTGCAGTCTGCCAAGAGCTTGGTGGAAATTTTAGTGAATGCTATAATAGATATGAAAAGTAAATACTTTCAAAATGTCATTTCAGTTATGATTACATAACACTAATTTTCAAAATCTTTAAATGGAAAATATTAATGTGGTTTGCACTGTTTTTACAAGGAAGCTGATACTCAGTGTCATGATATAGATTAGGGATGGCTATACACCAATGGCACCACTGAGCAGACCTCATGGTTCAGGTGCCACATCTAGAAGGTCAAGAAAGTGACAAATTGAGGAATTTTCAAATCTTGTTTCTCATTTCTCATTATGTCTGTCTTAGGAATCACACACAGAGTTTTATATTCTTCTTTCTCTCTGTCACTGTCACTCTAGGTCTCTGTCTTTGGCTATCTACCTGTTTGTATCTGCAACACAAACTCATAGTACTTCTCATAGTACTTTTATCTCTACTTGCCTTCTTACTTCTCTCTTTACTTCTACCTTTCCCCAATCTATATAAGCTGAATTTATGGCAAGAGTGAGAGTCAGAAAGTGAGGAATGGGCTGAGGAATGTAGGATGATGAACACTTCTGCCATTTGCCTCTAATACTTTTTCACCATCACTTGCTTTACCTTACAGAAGGCCTAGGGGAAAAGATGGCAGTGAAGAGCAGACTTGTAGCTAAAGCAGAAGAGTTGCCCTGTTAGCACCTTTCCAAGAAGAGCTGGTTTTGTAGTGTCCTCTTTTGGTATATGTTGGTATCCTATGGCTCCATAAAAATTAGTGCCACATTTCTTCAAGCATGATATGTGATATCTGTTCCAGTAGAGTGTAAACCCCTTGAGGGTAGATTACTGTTTCTCTTTTGTATTTTCATCCCTAGCACCTAAGCATCTTGTACCTTAATAAATGCCTGTTGATTGAATAGTTGGTCTGCCCAATTAAACCGAAGCTATACGACATGTTCTACATTGTCTCAGTTTAGCTATAACATCTAGGATTTAGGATTTTGCTAAAGATTTTTTTATGCTTGACCAAGAGTCATCAAATCATTTGATATTTAGTATCCAATCATAGAATATGTTAGGGATACCTAGTCAAGGCAGCATGGTACAGTGGAAAGTATGACAGATTTGGGGTCAAAGTACCTGGGTTCAAATTCTAGCTCTGCCACTTACTAGCTCTGTAACTTTGGGCAAATCACAGCCTGTTTGGGATTCAGTTTCCTCAACTGTGAAATGAAGGAGTTGAAGTTAGATAAATAGCCTCAATAGTCCCTTCCTGATCTAAATATGGGATTCTATGGTGGGTGGGGGGGATCCCAAAATTCTCTGCAATAACTAAAACATGTATGTTAAATATTTGAAAGTCCATATAAACTTAATTTTGTGATAACTAACTGAATTCAAGTATTTATGTCCACTGGTTTGAGAAAAAGCTGAGGAATTTTGGAATCTTGACAACGTCCACTCTAGGAATGGCCAGTGCCTAGTTTCTTTGTGTCATGAAGGTACACCATGAGTGAGGCTTCCTCTCTGTGCATAGATCCATAAATGAGAATAAAGAGCTATGGGCTCACCAGTGACTTAGTAGTCTTCATAGATAATCATTTCTATCCACTTTAAACACATTAAAATTAAGCTTTTTGGGAAATCTTTGGACCCCACTGGAAACAGAAAAGCTTTGTATGAATGCCCAATAAATCTACCCAAAGCGCATTCCTCCCCATATGTTTTGGGAAATCAGAGTCTAGAGCTGAAGTGTCTATTCTCACATTCACTGTGCTTGCAGTAGAAGGTTGCTATCTTCTCTAGCGTAAGTAGCTGAGCTGTATGAAAGAGCGGGAGGTTAGTAGAGATCATTAAAAACCTGATTATACTCAGATAGTTCTCTGGCTTAGATGTCAAGCCTACTGTCTCCAGACGAAATTAAGCCTTTGACCTAAATTGTGGATAGACTTGAAAAGGAAACTTGAAGAGTTAACAAGCTCTTGATGGATAATCTGAAGTATATGCTCTTATAATTGTTTAATGAAAGCCCTTGGAGTGGCTGAGGCAGAATTGGCAGCAGCTTATAGTATTTCGGTGTCTGACATTTCTTTCTTTATCATCCTGAATTCATTTTAAGTTTTAATCAAAGAATGTGTAATAAGATATTTGCTTCCTACACATCTATCACCATCAGGAAATTTGTACACCAATGTGTCAACTCATAAAGTTTTCTCTTCACCTTCATCAGTCACTAGAGTTAAGAGGATGCAGCAATTTTGCTCACACAGAACTTAGCAGTGGTGAAGAAGCTGTGGCAAAATATGATTGAACAGTTACTAACAGATTACTAGATGAGTCAATCCTAGATAAAATTGCTTGGTAGAGAGACAAGTGGTAGAGAGAATAGCCTAGTTTGATGTTGAACTGGAAAAACACTTAATAGCAAAATATCCTTTCTCTGGTAACACAATAAAACTGGGCTGTGCCTCAAGTGCTGTTACATTCCATAGAGCTTCATAATTTTATTTATTTTCTAAAATCTAAGTGGATTGAGTTAGTAATGATACTGTTGCTAAAACCTGTTACCTTCCATTGATAATGCGATTCCACTAATGTTTATTAAGCTCTTTCTATATGCTTCCTATCCTCCATTAAATACCAATTCAATTCATCATATTTTTTAACTTTTGATTTATTTTTAGATGGAATTTTTTTATTCTGAGTTTAACACCTCCCCCACTCACTAACATACTCTGCGATCCAGTGATACCGACTTCCTTGCTGTTCCTCAGACTTTATACTCCATTTCCTGACTCTGGGTATTTTCACTGGCTGTGCCCCCTGCTTCAAATTCTCTCCTTCCTCATGTCCACCTCCTGGCTATCCTAGTTTCTTTCAAAGACTTTCCTGATGCCCTGTAATTCTAGTGTCTTCCATCTGTTGATATTCTCCAGTTTGTCCTGTTTATAGCTTGTTTATACATAATTGTTTGCATGTTGTCTCCCTCATTAAACTGTGAGCTCTTTGAAAGCAAGAACTGTCTTTTACCTTTATTTTCACCCGTAGCATTTAGCATGGTGCTTGGCATATATTAGGTACTTAAACAGTATTTATTGACTAATCACTCATCTTTTTCCTCCTAATCTTCCCATCTGTTCTTTAAAAACAGAAAGACAAAAACAAAAACACTCTTTTAATCAACATTTATTGACCCACATGTAAGGCACTGTGGTATATGCTAGGAGATAGCAAAGGAAAGGGTCTTTTGAGATCATGTAATCCATACCCATTTTGCAAATAAGGAAGCTCAGGCTGAGAGAGGTGAGATATTTGTTCAAGATCAAACAGGTTGGTAGCAGAACCAGTGATGAAAGTAAACTGCACGGTCAGACCACTGTTTTCGATTTAGGAAGCCTTTTGGTTTTTCCCTGTTCTTCAATTTTACCTGTTACTAGAAGGAGCATTTCTTTTAGAGGGAAGATTTATTTCAGTTTTTTTTCCTAAGCTGTCATTGGCTGGGACAAAGAGGTAACATGGCAGAGTAGTTGGAGACTAAGACTTGGCTTTGGGGAGATCTGAATTAATATTGATTCTGACACTAGCTGTGTGGTCACGGGCAGGTCATTTATAACCTCTCCGAACCTGTTTCCTTATCTATAGAGTTGACATAATAATGCCTCTTCTACCTACATTGTAGGGTTGTTGTAACACTTAAAACATTATGTGAACTTCAGTTGTTATTTATTGTTGTTGTTGTTACTATTAAGTATGTTGGGGAAGTGAAAATGGTTGGGGCTTGTTTGGCAAATAAAAAATGCCAATACGTGAAAGTAACATCATTTCCATTTTATTTCTCCCTTTCTATAGTATTACTAGAACTTTTGCATCAGGTAAAACAGAAAAGGTGATTTTTCAAGCACTTAAGGAGTTAGGTCTTCCCAGCGGAAAGGTATTTATGAAGTTATTTTAATAATATACTGCTGTCTCTTATTTTTAACATTATAAATATGTCATGAATTAAATCAATTGTTCCAAACACCTAGCTTTGCATGCACCATCTCTCCCATGAAAAAACAAACAGAAAAAAACATAAGTAGGAATTGATTGGTTTGCATCTCGGCATACTCTAGTAGGTTTAATGCAGGTATTTTAAAATTCATAGATGACTGTTTCATCATTTTTGTTCTCTTATCCACATTAAGAAAATTAAGTTTAAAATATCTTTTTGACTTAGAAAAGCCATTTTGGCTACAAAGTAGGATGTTGACTATCAACAAGTTTAACAGAAAGATTAAGTAAATACTCATGTATTTTGAAAGCAAGTTTGGCCCAGTAGACTTTTATAGAACTCCAAGTGTCATAGATATTGCTAAATTATCAAAGCTCCCAATGCACAAGATCTTTCTTCATATAAACCCTCTTTATTCCTCTCTGTTACCTTTCACATATAGGAGAATCAAGCTCTTAGTATTGTTGATGACAAAGAGAATGAATGTCAGTGTTGTTACTTAAGCAAATCTTGCTCAACATAAAACTAAACAGAAAATAAAGGCGTTCTGTATTTTCCTAAAGCGTTTTCTCTTGGTTTTATAAAACTGTCAAAAGGAAAAAAATAACAGAATGGTGGCCTCACTTTGCCTTTAAAAAAAAAATTCACCTACAGACAAGTACTGGCTACACAGCCATCAATACTGGCTAGAGAATGATAGTTTCTCCTTACTCATGTTTCTTTCAGGTGTATTTGAGAAAGTTCCAACAGCTCTCTGCAGTTTTATATCTGGCTGTATGGCAAAGAAAAAAGCCTAGCCACCTGTGTTCTAATAGAGTCAGCTCTCACTCCCTGTAGAATTACTGCTGAGATGCACTTGGTTGTGGCTAGGCTTTTTTGCCTAGCCACATGCACAAAGTCTTTGAGATTCCAGTGGTAGCAATTCATTGCCTTTATCACACCTTCACTGAAAAACTAGTGCTGAATGGATAATCTATCCCTGCATTTCTTTCCAGAATGATGAAATCGAGCCTGCGGCATTTACATATGAAAAGTTTTATGAACTAACACAAAAAATTTGTCCTCGGACTGACATCGAGGACCTCTTTAGGAAAATGTAAGTTGTTTTTTTGTTTTGTTTTATAGAAAGTGACTCTTAAGCTGTATCATTCTCATTTTAGGTTTTTCTCATATTTTTTGCCCCTACATTTCAGTGCATTATGAATAGAGTATCCAACCGTGCCTGTTACTACTTTATCCTACACTAGCAGGCAAGGTCAGGGTTATGTTTCCTTCCCTTGATTTATCAATGTAAAAGTTCACTCCAAGTTTTCGAGAAACTTTTACATAAGTTAAAGGAAGCACCTGGAACTTTTTTTCTTGCATTGGCTTTACTAACTCCCTGTAATTTTAACCTGCTCTTTTAGGTTATTAACACATTTTGTAAACTAACTAGATTAAATATGGAGTCTTATTATATTATTGGAAAGTTCATTCATTCAGAATTATCTAAAGTGGATGACTTACATGTTGTTTTTGAATTTAACAGTTTTTAATTAATTACTAGGGAAAAAGAACAGCAAAAGTCTTGACTGTGGTGCTCATATGGGAGGGGGTTTCTTACAAAGGGTCTTTGGCCTTTAAAAGAATGAACAACTACTTAGAAAATAGGCTTAGAAAGGATTATCAACAAATGTCAACATGTAAATCGTACCTACTATAGCATCATATACAGAAACTTACTTTTTCTAATAAATTTCTTTTCAGCAATGGAGACAAAACTGATTATTTAACGGTAGACCAATTAGTGAGCTTTCTAAATGAAGTAAGCTTTTTCATACATTAACTACCATAAAGTCTGTCTGCAGTGGCTTGCTTCTTCCAGTTCCCTCATTGCATGCATCATGCCATCATTGGCTTTGCTTCTGACCTGCTGATCTTTCCATTATGGCATCCTCCAGGTGCAAAAATCAGCTGCAACTCTGTGTGTTCTTGTGCTTTCTGTGCGTTGGCTTTGCCACTTGCTTTTTGCTGATTACTTGCTGTGGTGTGTAGCTGTTACTGTGTCTATAAATTTTTATAATATTATACCCATTTAATTAAACATGTTGATGTTCTGTTGTCAGATATTATTCAAATGTGTTGAATTGTTTGTATTGATCCTTTCAATTAGAAAATGATTAGTTTATGACATTGTAGTTTGATTCTCCATTGCTAATTGTGATGCATGGATTAAAAGTATTTTTTTAGTAGATTGCATGTAAGGATATGTAGAGTAGAATGAAATATTTTGATAACAAACTTAAAGAATTACTAGATTTCCTGACTGTTATTGTAGAGAAAAGGCTAATTGAATTTTAAGTATGTTTCTTTCTTACTTTTACATTTTCCAACCTAATTTTGAGTCAGATTAACTTAATACAGTTTTAACTAAATTTACATGAAAACAGGATAATAAAGTATTATAAAAGCAAGTGAATGTTCCAGATTTTTGTACCAGCAAATTATATTTCCATATCCTTCACATTTCCGAAAGCCTTTTTCCTTGAAAACCACCTAGAAATTTTGCTATCATGCAGAGTAGTAGATCAATGCATTTTTTTGTTTAAAGGTGATATTTATGTATACATATGTGCATGTATATATTCATATATGTGTATATATATATATATATTCATATATGTATAAATATATATTAGTCATCACCAGAAAACAGACAGAAAACTAAAGGCAAACTCAATGCCACACATGTAGCAAATGCTTGATAAGTCACAATAAAAAGGATAGGAAATAGATTAGATAGGTTATTAATATTTAACATCTTATTGCCACTCCCCTTTCTTCTTTTTACCATGAGTTTTCAGTGGATTTGTATTTTATTTATATTTGTACTTTAGGAATTATGTTAATCAGGGCTTTAATATGTGTAATATAAAGGGAAGATACTGTTTAATTTAATATAATTCAATATTTATTTTACTTAAAATTTCTTTTTGAGTTGTTATGTGCTCTACTCTTTCTTAGTCATGCATATGCTATGCTTACAATCTTTACCCAGGTATTATCCACATTCTTATATTGTAGATAATATAGAAAAGTAGATTGCTTGGAATGTTTTTCATCAACATATGCTAACATTCTATTTTTCTTGTCCTGTTCTTGCATTTTGAATTATTAATAATCAAAGCATTGTTAAGGTGGGCCAAGAAACACATTTCCCTGTAACACATCCCTGTAGGATGGAAAAGAGGAAGTCTGTGGTGTATGTTGACTTACTGCAATTGGAAAAATGTACTTCATGCATATGTGGTGAATCTGGCTTCAAAGCAATGACTAAACATTTCTTATGTCTTACTTAGAACTGCATGTTTCTCAATAAGAAAAGTTACTAATGTTGTAAGTACAGATTCAGCTTTCTAAGAACCCTCACTTGTCTGTTTTAAGGAGCATTGTTCTGCTATTTCTTTTAGTGCGCTTATAATTTTTGAAAGTCTAAGACATAAGAACAACTTTGAAAATATACTCTCCATTTCTCTCCTCTTTTGGTAGGCCTCCTTCTAGCATTCTATTATAATGACTAAAACTATTTACTTATTTTAAATACTTTCTCTCTTTCTTCCACATGACTCCTGCAGGGAGAGAGAGAAAGGAAACACCTTGACTTTGAATAATGGGAATGATGGATTCAGTTCAGTGCCAGGCTTTCCCTGGTTGCTGACATTCTACAGTGCTTACAGACAGCTATGTTAATAGATACGATTGCTTCAATTCAGCCAGCATTTTTGAGGATTGTGTGATAAATAATACAGTATAGCTTTAGTCAGATACATACAATCTGCCCTTCTTCATCTTTATTAAAGAGATGAATCAAGTGAAGTAGTGAATTTAGCCAATGGCATCCAACCATTGCAGGCTAATAAATTTTGTCACAGATGAATATTTGGATCCTGTATGATGGCTTAAGGAAAGTTCTCTTTGCCTTCATTATTGAAATAATAACAAAGTCCAGGTTGATAAAACTGGCAGGGAGAATTGACATAAGCTTCCATTTTTTACTTAATCAGGATCACAACATTGTCATCTTTAGTCATAGAATTTAATGATAGATTGAAATCCATCTAGTCTCCAACTCAAATCTTTTCCTAATAAATAATCAGATTGATTGATTTTAGTTCTATTTTCCCTCCCCTATTTGTATCCTCAGATGAAGATACTAACAAGTCCAAAAATGGACAAAAGGTTTAAAATAAGGAGACAATAAATAAATAGAGTCTTGGATGGCCTGAGGAATCAAGAGTTAGTTATATTGATCATGTTGGGAATTAAAGCTGGATAGTTTCTTGCTACTATAAAGAGATCCTAAGTGGCTATTTCAAATAGAGTCAGAGAATAGAGTCCTGGGATGGACTTTAAGGGTCTGCTATAATAGATGGGTCATCTAATAGATAATCTAATAGAATACCAGAAATCATTAGATCCTGTACTTGAAAGGCAGCTTAGATTATCTAGTTCAGAACACCACAAACTGAAATGAAGCACATTAATTCCAAAGAGGTTAGGCAACATGCCCCATCTCATATAGCTAGTTAGTAGTGCCAGAACCATAACTAAATTGAAACCTACACCAACCCAGCCTCATTGGAACATAAAACTGGAATAAACATTGCTGCTGAGTGGGAAGTAATATAATGCTTTGCAAACATTAAAACTTTATAATAGACCATTGTTAATATTATTATTACTGTCAGCTGCCAGGAAAGTGACAAAAATAAAAATGTATCAGCCATCAGTGCCAACATTAAGAAAACAGTAATAGGATTCATAGTTTAGCTTGCTTAGCACTGTACATGACACATAATCAGTTATTAATAAATATTTGTTGCCTATTGATTCTAAAGAAAATCTCCTGATACTTACCAGATGTTGTTCTAAATGAATGTCCGTTATTGGTGGAAAGTAATCAAGGGATTATGAGATAGTAACCCCATTATTGATTTTCAACAGGATTTTGAATCTCCAGATGGTAGACCCTGATGCTGAAAGGATTCAAGTAAAAATGTCTGTAAAAATGTCATAAATTGCTTTTGACAGTAATAGCCAGGAGATGTTAGTCTCTCACAGAGAAGAGGAAACACACATGATCACATTGCAAAGACTTTATATCAGATCCCAGAATATCTGAAGCTCTGTATCAAATAATCTCTCAAGTACCATTTTTGGCAGAGTTTCCATGATTTCATCTCCATTCTCCAGTGTGTATCCAATGAGATAATAGATTATACATTAAGTCAATGGCATTCATTCCTTTCTCTCCTTTACGTCTCTCATGTTAATACCAATGCCTAAACTTTAATAATAGTAATCAAATTTATTTGCATATCCCTATGTATTTTATGGAGTGGTTTCATTCCTGTTGCCTCGTTTTCTTCTTATAACAACTCTATGAGATAGAGCAGGCATTATTATTCCCGTTTTAGAGATAGGGCAACAAAACTTAAGGGATAAGTGACTTTCTAGGTTATGTACCTTTTAAGCTGCAGAAGTAGGGTGTTCCATCTTTTCTCCTGCATCCTTTCTCCTCTTACCTTTTTATCTCTTTCTCTTAGAGAGAGAAGAGGGAGCTGATTTGCATCTCTCTAATCTCTTCCCAGGCAGCTTAAGTGTTGCATCTAATAGAGCGCCAGGCCTAGAGTCAGAAAGATTCATCTTCTTGAGTTCAAATCTCGCCTCAGACACTTACTAGTTGTGTGACTCTGAGCAAGTCACTTAACTCTGTTTGCTTTGGTTTCCTCATCTGTAAAATGAGCTAGAGAAGGAAATGGCAAACCACCCCAGTTTCTTTACCAAGAAAATCCCAAATAGGGCCACAAAGACACGTGAGTCACAAGTGAAACAACTGAACAGCTCTCTTCCCTCTACCTATATCTTTTTTTCTTTCTCTTTCTGCTCCCCATTCCTATCCTGTCTCTTCCTGTGTACCTTTAATTAATATGTATATGCTTACACACTCACATATACACACAGAATATTTGGTAATGAACATATGACATAAATTAAACTGATCTGTTTCAGTAAACAGATATCTAATCTTTACTTAACACAATAAAAATATAACTATGCTTTTCCTATAACCACAGACACAACCTTTTTTTTCTTTCATCCATCTTCTTCCCTGCCACCATTAATAGATATTGACAAGAGTAAAGAGATACTAACCATTTCATTCTCAATAAAAAGTTCGTTAAATGATGTATTTCAGCTAGAAGTGGAAAGTTTATAATTTCTCAGAATAGTGGGCTCCACAGCTGCATGCCTGCACTATATTGCTAGCTAGGAATATTGTGCATCCCACTATTTGAGATTTCATAGTTGTTCTTATAGCTTTGCTTCTTCTAGATGCTGCACAGATAGTGACTGTTTGCTGTTTTTTAGATGCTGGAGATCTGTTGCTGGTAGCCTTAACTCTATGCTCCTTCACTGCATGGCTATATTGTTGTGAGCTATAATTTTTTAGACTATAAGCATGCTTCATTGGAGTAAACTTTCAGAAGAGATTTTGTTGCTTCATTATGAATCAACAGTCCTGACTTTGGAAAGGGGCCAAAGACATGTGCATTTTGAGAAATTGCATAAAGTGCTCTATTGGCCACAGGCATCCACATTGTCCACCTTCAAATTATTCATCCAGATTGGTGGTGGGGTGGAAATTCCACAAACCTAAAAATTCCTTTCCGCAAGAATGTGCATATATCTGGGTAAAGAAGTGTTGCCATGGTCATACTTATTGATAAAGTTTTGCTTGCATCTGCTTACCTGCCATGACTCAGTTGAATTTTGTTTTATATTTTTTTTCTTTATTTTTATGGAGAATCAGGTACACAGTGTGCAGCCCTCAAATCTACAATGAACAACAACAAAAAATAAAGAATTGTAACTACAAAAAAAAAAGACTTTGTAATTTGGACTTTTCATTGGTTCTCTTTGAAGTCAGACACCTTTGGAAAGTTATATTATTCCTCCCTCTGGTATTAATATAGGAACAGGAGACTCTAGCCCTGAAATTGAGTGAGATAACTTTTCGAAGTTCTTAATAACCTCATAATATGGGCTTTCTGAGTAAATTTCAGACAATGATTTCCTTTAGAATTAATTGATCTTAGTTTTTTTTAAATGACTAAAATAATCCCAAACTCTCGATTTATAAATGTAAATCAATGAATTATATCCTTGCTTTCATTAGTTTTGCAATAATATTCCAATTATTAAATATTTTTGCAGACTTGCTCAATAGAATGTTTTCCAATTCTGATAAGGAAAAATTATATGATCAGTTATTTATAGAAAAGTTATATGAAGGTATTCAAATAAAAATGGGATGTTTATACTAAAATTTCTCCTATACCAGCATAGCGATTGATTGCAGTTAAATTCTATGGATTTAGGCCTAAAATATGCATGATCATCCATACAGTCCTTGGTTCTATGAAAATAAGACAGCATAGAATAGTTAGTTTCTCTGCCTCTGCTTTTCTCTATGAGAAAGTACCCCAGAAAGTATCCTAGGTGGAAAGGAAGGAAAAAATGAAGGAAGGAAGGAAAGAAGGAACTATTTTGACACTTTTAAGTTACAATTATGATACTCTGCATTTTGTGTATTAGAATTTTTCCGTTTTGATTATATGAAACACCCTAAGAATTTTGCAAATGGCAAATATTATCAGGCTAAACAGAGTTATTTTCTAATCTTAGCATCAACGAGACCCTCGACTGAATGAAATTTTATTCCCATTCTATGATACAAAAAGGGCAATGCAGATAATTGAGACTTATGAGCCTGATGATGAGTTGAAGACAAAAGGTAATGAAGAAGACATTGTTTCATTTTTCTTTCTCTTAAAAAAAAGGCAGGAAGGGTGGGCATTTATTTTAAGTAAATCACATAGATATTGGCTAAATGAATTTTAAGAAACACAAAAGCTTTCTAGTGCCAAGATCAGGTAACTTACTTTAATTTTCAGTTTTAAATATATCACCCTTCATACTAGATACACCATCCATACTAGCCAGAGTATCATTTTAAATTCAACATGTCATAAAACACCATTTAACTTTTTTTTCCATTGTCTATTCTCATAATTGAGCTTTAAAATATAACATGCCTGAAGATACAGAAAAGTTAAATGCAGGATTTTCCATTTCAAAGATTTGAAAGGAATTGTTTATTATAAAAACTCATTGTAAATAAAGATAGCAGCTATACTATAGAAATTACCCATATCAATACCAAATAAATTTATGCTATGACTTATTCCTCATATTTGGTGCTTGTAAAAGAAGATTAAAACAGTTGATCCAAATCTGTCAATTATTCAGGGATTAGAGTAGAAAATTAGCAAATCATTCAAGTCCATAACATTTGATTAATCAGCAGTCATTCATTAAACACTTACTATGTTCCAAGCAGACACTGGAGATACATGTACAAAGAAGGAAACCATCCCTACTACCAACAAGCTTTTGGTTGCCTGCCCTAAGGGGCATTTTTCTGTCTATAAGCATCTCCATTAGAGAGATGTCAGAGAAAGAAAATTGAGGAAAACTCAGGTTAACTCAATTTTATTTCTTGGGATAAAAAGATCAGCGACAGAGAAGAATAAACTATTTTAACAAATGAAAATTTTTATGTCCTTAACATTATTTATACAAAAAAATCTCATTCTGCTGTTCTGCACCCAGTTGTGTTGTTTTGAAGTCATATCTCTTTTTTTGAAAACACAAGCAAGAAAAGTTAAAATAAAAAATTAAAGTTTTTCTTACCTATTTGAATGTGAGCTCCATGAAGACATATTCTGTTTATCTGCCTTTCTTTATATCACCAGGGCTTAGCACAGTTCCTGGCATGTAGCAAAAACTATAATCTAGGATTACAAGTTCTAGTTGTTTTTTACGTTATGGACAATGATTTTTTGAACAGTCCAGTCAGCCAGTCAACAAGCATTTATTAAGTGCATAGTGTTCTTATTAAGTGCATTCATTATATGTGTCAAGACACAGAACTCATATTTTATTACGTTATAGATACAAGATATGTGGTGGGTATGTGTCTGTCCTTGGAACTCAGGAAAACTGGCTTCAAGTCCTGTCTATGAAATGTACTAAAGTGATATGACCTTAGATATATCATTTTACCCACACTGCCCCAGTCAGGTGTCCAAGAATTTAAGCTACAGACATTTTGTCTGTCAGTGGAAGAAGTTTCCAGCAGTTTTTCCATACCAATGAAATCACAGGAATATAAATAAACAATAAATATTTTAAATTAGAAATGGTATCATTGGAAAAGGGCCATTGAGAGTATGGACACCTGAAGAATGAATTTTAATACTCATATTCCCCTATCTACCTAGTACTCCAGACACAGCCTCAGTATTGCATTTGATTTTACCTTGTAGTAGTTCATTAAAATTGTGAACTTCCTCATTCAACAGACATTTTTAAAGCCTTTTTGCCCCCCCCACACACATTGTGCCCTAGAAAAACTTATGCTCTACTGAAATAAAACAACCAATCCCCAGTAGAAAATATGCAATATGTAGAAAGTACAAACAGTAATTTTGGGAAAGTAAGAGAAGGGCAATGTTGTCTGCGAGGATCTGCATTTGGACTGGGTTTCTGCCTGTTTGCATGAGAAACTGTGAAGTTGGTGTACTTGCTTGTCTTCTACTCCATAAAGCTGCTGTTATGGGATGAAGACTCTTTAGAAAAAGAAGATTCAACTTACACCCTCACTGTTTAAAGCTTCTTTTAGTTTCTGTGACTGAAACAGGGGCTTTCAGTCTTTTGGGCTACTTCTTAACTTTACCTCAATCCTGTGTAAACGCACAAGGCCATATAAGCCTTTTCTTGTCTTTTTTAGGGCTCATATCCAGTGATGGGTTTTGCAGATATTTGATGTCAGATGAAAATGCTCCAGTCTTCCTTGACCGCCTGGAACTTTACCAAGAAATGGATCATCCTTTGGCCCACTACTTTATCAGTTCTTCCCATAACACATATCTAACAGGACGTCAATTTGGTGGGAAATCTTCCGTGGAAATGTATAGACAAATCCTCTTAGCTGGATGCAGGTTGGCAAGCTAAGATAATTGCTTTTTATCTCAGTGTTATAAGCTTGTATTTACCCCATCATAGCCTCCTGAAAAGACATACATAGTTATCCCTTCCAAATCACAACTTTCTCCATCACGGTTTCAATATATTGTGGATTGGCATAGAAAATTAAGTGGGAATTTTGAGGGGAGTTTTGTGGAAGTTGCAGATGACACACAAAAGCCAGCAGTGATACAGAAAAAGCAGTTTTACTTAGCATTGACCTGTATATAACCTATGACCAAATACTTAACCCAAATTTTACAATAAGGTACTGTAAACACCCCATAAAAGAAAAAGAAGAATTTCAGACTTCTTCTTAGGTACAAATGGAGTGCCAGAAAATTGTACGTGGATTTTCCAGGTCATAGGGGCACTGTGCCTCTAACTCCCGTGATGTATAAGGTATAAATACAATAATCAGAGTGGCAAAGGAAATTTCTTCATTACTTTTTAACAAATTTGTTATAATTTACCTTTAAGAAATTAAAATCATTATGCAGTAATAAAATAGTGTGCATGCCAAAATGGTGTTTATAATGTAAATATAAAATATGAAAAATCACAGGTAGGAAACAGGCTTGAGAGATTTCTACTATATACATTTGGAGATAGTTGGGTGGCACAGTGGAAGGAGCAGAGGGCCTGCAGTCAGACAGCCCTGAGTTCAGATCTCATTCTCAGGTAGTTAGTAGCTATGTGACCTTGGGCAAGACACTTAACCTCTGCTTGCCTCAGCTTTCTCAATTGTCAGATGGTGGGGATAATAATAACACTATCTCATGGGATTGTTGTGTAGATCTAATGAGATAATATTTGTAAAGTGCTTAAGCAAAGTGCCTGACATAGAGCAGGCTATGGCATATAGTAGACAAATATAAATGCTTATTGCTTTTCCTCCTTTTCCTTCCTATAAATTTAAATACAACTTTAGCTTCCACTAGTGGATGGTAGCATAAGTATTAGAATGATACTTATCTAGCTAATTAAGTAAGAAGTAGAATATTAAAAGATCCAAATTTACTCCCCCCACCACTCTGTAAGATTAAAAACTTTTCACTTATACTTCTTTTTACACATATTGTACAATGAAATTGCTCAGTATTTGTGGTGAAAATACAAGGGTATATAATGTGTAATACAATGTAAGCATGCTATAGAATCAAAGTAGTTACGTTAGGAAGAGGTTTTAAATAGCATACCTTATTTAAAGTAACTTTCATAATTCATTCTATTTCTGGTCCTACAAGAAAATAATTCACTTTTAAAGTTTTTTCATAATACTCTTTTACTTAAAGGATTAAATATTTGTCATCTTGTTGTGTTCTTAGATGTGTTGAACTAGATTGCTGGGATGGGAAAGGAGAAGATCAAGAACCAATAATAACTCACGGAAAAGCAATGTGTACAGATATTCTCTTCAAGGTAAGATGGAAAATGCACCTGTATCTAACGGCAGGAGTCCATGACCTGGAGTCTGTACATTTTTTTTATTTTTTTCATATTTGGTAACCATATTTCAGTGTAATTGGTTTCCTTTGTAATCATGTGTATTTTATTTTGTATATTTAAAAACATTCTGAGAAGGTATCCTTGACACACAAAGATTAAGAATCCCTTTTTTTGCAGTATCATTCCCCCACCAAAAAACTATAGTTGTCATTATTTCTTCCTATCTAAATGGGAAAGAGCAAGAGTTTGAAAATTTGCATGGTGAAATAGTAAATACAAATATTTGTATTAGGTATTTTTAACCTCTTTATATATTCACTTTTCTCCCTGTTTTATGAAAGTCAAGAACAATATTTTCCCCTCAGAATTCCCTCTTCACACTCCTTTTTTTTCTATTTTGAAGTAGTAACCATCTCTCAGCTAAATCTACTTTGTCCTTAAAAAGGCAGTCAAGAGTCAAATGGAATATTTATTTTGAGATCTCTTGATATTAAAGAAGCAAGGAATTAAGGCTGTTTCTAACATTGACTAAGATGAAGAAAGCTGGGGCTCAGATGCACAGTGGAACTACATATTCCTCCCTTTGGACCAAAGGTGCTTAAGTCCAAAATTAGAAAATTAAAACAAAAGGAAATCGAAGATATAAATATCACTTTTTAATTACTTGTAGCCTAGTTTCCATTTCACAAACACTCATGATGTAGCAATGATACTTTAAGTATGTAAGGCAATCTTCATTTAGAGCAATAATGAATTGCTAAGGAAAAGATGTATTAGTAATAAAATCTAAATTAAAGTTAACTTTTCATTGTTTGCAGAGAAGAAAAATAACAAAAAATTAATGAAGGTAGAATTCTACCCCTTCTTTTTCAGTCACGCTCCTCATACTTATTTATAAATCAGAAATATCAAGAACTGTATGTCATGTAAGTAAATATTGTAGATATAAATGAGGTTTACCAAATTCAGAGTCAATAATTCAGTTAATAAATATTTATTGAGTACCTACAATGTGCCAGGCAAAGAAAGATAAAATACAGCCCTGCTGTCAAGGAGCTCACAGCCTAATGGGGGAGATAAAAATATTAACAAAAGTTCAGCTTTCTCTCTCTCTCTCTCTCTCTCTCTCTCTCTCTCTCTCTCTCTCTCTCTCTCTCTCTCTCTCTCTCTCTCTCCCTCCCTCCCTCCCTCTCTCCTCTCGCTCTCTCTTGTTGTTGTTCAGTTGTGTCCAACTCTTCATGATCCCTTGGACCATAGCACACTAATACTATTCATGGAGTTTTCTTGGCAAAAATACTGGAGTGGTTTGCTATTCCCTTCTCCAATGGATTAAGGCAAACAGAGGTTAACCAAATGTCTGAGGCTGTATTTTAGCTCAGGTTTTTTTGACTTCAGGCCTAGTGCTCTATCCACTGAGCCACCTGGCTGCCTCATCTATATCTGTTGCTATAGCTATATACACATATATTATCGATGCTGACTATTTGCAAAGGATTGGAAATAGTCAGCACTGACAATGTGCTATAATTAAATGGGATTAGAAAAGGGTTCCTATAGAAGGTGGAATTTTGGCTGCTACTTGAAGGAAGCCAGAAGGCAGAGATGAGGAGGTCTTAACATTCTGAACAACATTTTATTTTTTGATGACAGGAATATTTTTTTTCTCCTTTTCTAATTTAACATAGTATCTAGTTCATTGTCATACACTCTGTGCGCTCAGTAAATGCCACTGTATGCTGATTAACAAAAGTAGATTGTAGTTACAAAGTCAATGCAAACTCTGAAAACAGCCTTTGTTACATCTGAGTATCCTGCCATTCTGTCCTTTGAAAATCCCTGCAGGTAGATTATCCATTCATTTCTTTCTGCTGCTGCCTCTTTCTTTTTGAAATGAATTTTCTATCACACAGTGTCATCCCTAGCCACCAGTGAAATTGACATAGATCAACACAAGGCAAAAATGCCAAGGTTTTAGAGACTTTGGGAAACTATCTCCTAATCTCTTAGAGCATTACACATTTTTTCCTTTTCATATCTTAATATCTTTAAGTACTGTTGGATAGACAGGAAGGACATCAATAAGACTTATTGATTTCGTACTATGTGGCCAGCATTCCTTCTGCAAGAAGCCTTCCCCACACTTTCTTAATTCCAATGCTTTCCCTCTCCTAATTATTTCCTATTTATCACTTGCTTTATACGTACTTGTTTGCATCATCTCCCCCATTAGGCTGTATGCTCCTTAAGGGCAGAGACTTCTCTTCTGTCTTTTTTTTTTGTATTCCCAGAACTTAGCACAGTGCCTTACACATAGTAGGCACTTGATAAATGTTTATAGATTGATTGATAATACATTGTCCTTGCACGTAAAGTATTTAAAATCTAGTTGGAGAGGTAAAACTAGCACATATAATGTAACTAAGAGTAAAATTAAATTGTGTGGTTCTAACTATAATTGTACTAGCAGTTCAATTGAGAGAGAAAGCATTCTATGGTGATGGCAAGGAATCCAAGCTGAGACAAAGAAAAATGGAGTGACATTCTTGATTGAGGAATGTGAAACTCAAAATTTATTCAGCTGTAGTCATCTATTTATCACAGTAGAATAATTCAGGTTATTTATTCGACTGTAGTTTGAACAGCGGAGAATATTTTACAATGATTGACAAGGACTGCTTTGACACAGCATGTAATCATGGAGATATCTGACAGCTCAATAGGTAGTTTGATGAATGCATTCATTTATCCCAACCAGTTTTTTTTTAATTGAACAGTTACTAAGTATATAACACTATGCCAGGCACTGTGAGGGATACCCCTCCCCAGTATATAAGACCTGATCTGTAAGTACATATAAAGCTCTGGTCCCCTTACACATTAACTTGGTTTGCTTTTTAAAGGATGTGATTCAAGCCATCAAGGAAACAGCTTTTGTTACATCAGAGTATCCTGTCATTCTGTCCTTTGAAAATCATTGCAGGTAGAGTGATCCATTCATTTCTTTCTACTCTTGCCTTTGTAATGAATGACAAACTCGATGTTTTTTTTAATATCTAAAACAGTAAAAAAGCTCTGCTTTAATGTAACTCTCTGTATGCTGTGTTAGGCCTAAAAAAGTTCCCAACTTAATTTAGGGTAGTTAAAACTTTTACTCAAGAAAGGTTAAACACTGGGATACATTCCTACAATTGCTTAGTCTAGAGATGGCAGCATCGATTCAACGTACATTTATTAAGCCCCAGCTATGAGCACAGCCCACAACGTTGGGATATAGAGACAGATGGACATAGACTATTTTCAGGAAGCTCACAGTCAAATTCGGGGCAAGGGGAGGGGAAGAAGCAGTGTGTACATAAATAGCTATGCAGTAAGGGAGAGTGAGATAAGTGAAAAGCAGAGGTCCAGACAAAGTACTGTGAAAAGCCGGAGGACATTTTTAGTTAGCCTTGTCAGTTTGTACAAGCAGCCCTTACTCTGCTTTTTCATTATATCAGTTAAAGTTTTATGATATTTTTAAAAAGTACTTTTAATATAAACATCAAGGGAACTATCATGCATTATGCAAAAAGGATATTTGAATTCTTTGGGGATGAATTTTTTTATTTCTATAATTGTTAATATGTATTTGAATTTGACAATTACAATTATTTCCCCTAGCAAATATCAACAGTACAAGATGTCCAAGTATTGTGAAGATCTATTTGGGGATCTCCTGTTGAAACAAGCACTTGAATCACATCCAGTATGTATTTTTAGTAGACCATTTTTCTAGATTTAATGGATTTGTTTTGAAATGCATTTCTAAAGAGTCAAGTAGGATCCTCAGACCAATAGAGAAGATTTCCATATTTATGTATTTTAATGTTTTAGGGGCAAATGCCTCTTTAATCATGATATAATGGGGTCAAAATATATGGATATAAAGTAAATCTTAAGGTCATTTAAATTTTGTAGTTCCCTAGGACCCTGTAGTTATTGGGCCTCCTGTTCAAAAATGTAATAAAGCACCTTCTAAAAGGGTCCACAGTTTGGTTCCACGAAATTAAGCCTGGTTAATAAACCTTTACTCAAAACTACTGAGCTCTCTGATTTTTATATCAGTCACTTACATTCTCTGAAGCTGTTTACTCATCAGTAAAATTAGGGTGATATCAGCTACCCTATTAATTTCATCAAGCAGTATAAGAATCAGATAACATAATTTATATAAAACATCATTGAAGAAGTTAAAACATTGTTTAAATGTAAAGTATTAATGTTCTTTCCTTATCCACTAAAAAGTAGTTGTTAACAGACCACAAAAGAGCAATTTTGATCAACTAAAGAAAAACATACAGTTATACTGAAATTAGGAATGAAAATTCAGGGAGGCACTTTGTATTTAGTATTCAGATCTAGCCTTTGAAGTGAGCTTCAAAAATCAGTAGGCTTCAAGAAATTATCTTTATTTCAGCAAAATTATATGGCCACATCTATATCCACAACCTCATCTCCTTCTGCTTATTCCCTATTATCAAAAGATTTAAAAAAGTGAATGAATCTGTATTATTTTTAGTGGTTTTGTGTGTACATATCACAAAATTAATTTTATCAATGTAAGACACTGGATAATTTAGGCCAAAAGATCTATTTTAGGGCCTGAATTATTCAGCCTGATGTTTGACATTGATCAGATTATCCAGATCATTATAGATTTCCTACTTTACTTGATGCTGTAGAGATTCTTGATACTGGGATGGATAGGTGATTTCATCAATTTGGCTACTCCCACCACCCATTCAAATAACAATCTAATCATTCTTCTTACTATGTGTATTTTTTTTCCATCTTTTCCCAAAAATTCTTCATAAAAGGATCTGACAATCACTGGACACCTTCCTCTGGGTCTTTTCATATTGTGTAAATACCAATACAGAACTCAGACTGTCTTCTTATCATCTCTCACTCATGATACTTGACTGACCCACCTTCCTTCTGGTCTTGCATGCTTTCCACAATGTCTTATTCCATTTATCTCACACATCTCATCAACAGCAACATGCCACAACCTTCTTGCACTCACTATTTGTCTTTCTATTGTCTTTGGATCATCTGGAATTTTGAGTCTTCTAAGGCTGATTTGGTATTTCATTACTGGCTTTCTCCAACCCTTAGAGCAACATTGGGAAAATATTAGCAGTAACAGGATAATCTTTGGCAGCTAAGTGCAACTTGTAGCTGTTGAAAGCACAGTGCAATTTCCCAAATTTTATCCAGGCTTATCTCTTCTTCCTCTTTTTCAGTTTAGGCCCAGTTCATTGTCCATCCATAGAACTTAACGGAGATGTTTGTAATCACTTCAGATTTTCTCCACAAGCAGTTTCACAGAACAAATGAGTAAAGTGGAAAGAGAAAGGACAAAAAGGGAATATTAATTTTCTTTTAGGCCTATTCCTTGAGTTTCATTTGGTAGAATCACTCACTATAAATCTAGTTTTTAGTTTCAAGGTAGGGCCAGTAAACTCATTCTTACAGAAAAGAGTACTAGATTTTTGGTACATTTCATATTATTATCATAAAAAACAAATATGGATTGAGCACAAAAACACAAGGCCCTGTGGTAAGTACTGGGGATTAAAAAAAAATTGGAAACATCTCCTGCCTTTGAGGACCTCACAGTCTGCTTGAGGAGATAGAGTATACACATAGATGCATCTATCCAGCAGTGTTTAAGAGTAGACTATACGTTAAATGCCAAATGAGTGATATGAAAATCCTGAGGATGGAAGCATTACTATGACCAATTGAAGAAAGACATGAAAAAGATGAGTACTTGGAGGAAAGTTTGAGTAAAAGAGAGAGAAAGGGAGGTACAAGGATGAAGAGAGTTCACATGGCTATTTCAATGAGAAGAGAAATGCAGTATTCCTTCCCTGAAGGTATTGATAATTAAGGTAAAAGTAGAGTTTGTCTTTTAGTGACCCAGCTATCTCCCTTAGTTTTCAACTTTTCTTTGCATGTAGACACATATTATACATAGCTAGTACTATGAGTACCCTCCAAGGGGCAAAGGAAATCACAGGTAAATGACAATGGTCAAAGTGTCCTTATCGGAAAAGGGTTTGGGGGCTCTATCAGGTCATTATCTGGTATTCATTTGAACCATATTAGAGCTAGAGAAAGGCAGTCCTGTCCTACTAATTATCATAAGGCTCTCAAGTTTATAATAAGGTTAAACTAGGAATTTTTCTCTACACTCTCCATGAACTAATAATTTCAATCTGTACAGGTAGATCCCTAAAACTTTAAACTGAATTCACACTCTTTGAAAATCTCCTGATTTTCCAGGGACCTGTGAAATTGCCCTAGGGCTAAACATTCATCTGCTTAGTTACCAAAAGGGGTGGCTACCTAATTTTCAGTTCTGAGCCATACAAGAAATACTGAGATTTTGAAAACTGATGCCATTTAGGGGATAAGAAAAATAGATGGCAAGTCTTTCTACTGCCATCTAGTGGAAATAGATGTGTATAACTACTAGGAACTCAGAATCAGACTGAGGCAGGGACCTCAGGATAATAGATTTTGAACTAGAAAGAAGCTAAGTTCAACCCTTCACCCCACAGATAAGGAAACTGAGAGACATAGGTCATGTAGCCTTCCCAGGAAGACACATTAGTCAAACCAGGATAAGAACTAAAGCCCTTTGAGAACAAATCCAAGATATACCGCATCTCCAGTCATCCTAATCTATATCTGGCCTCTGGATCCAAATGGCTTCAGAGGAGAAAGTGAGTCTTGTGACTTTGCACAACCTTCCCTCACTTAAATATAATTCACTTGCATGTCATGGCATCGCCTCTCTGATGGAAGGAAGGACGGGAAGGACAAACAGCAGCAACAGATATTTGTCTTAAATTACTTTCTAGGAAAGAGATTTAGATCAGTATGTGTTCTGTTACTCAGTTAGAATCAGGGAGTTAAAGACCAGAATTAGTTTAGAGTTCCAAGCAGGCTGCAGGTAGAGTAATAGTGAAATAGCAAATAAATCTAACCCAACTTATACCTGAAAATTTTCCTCTATCATGTATACAATAAGTGGTTATACAGCTTTTCCTTGAAAACTCCCAGTGATGAGGCTGCCATGGCTTCCCAAAGCAGCCTGTTCCACTTTGGGATTACTCTAATGGTAGGAAAGTTTTAATTACACCAAGCCTTAATCTAATTCTTCAACCTCCATCTGTTGTTGTTAGGTATATCCTTTGGAGCCAGCTAGACTAGACTAGACTAGATAGATATATAGATAGAAAGAATGTATAGTATTATATAATAGGTAGATATGTAATATGTAACATTATATGATATGTAACTACATAATATATATATATCTATATATAGATATATACATATCTATATCTATATATAGATATTCACTCTTCCACATAACAACTGTTCAAATGTTTGAAAACAGATCCATATCATCATCTCTCCCCACCACTCCCAAGTCTGAAGGTTGAACATCCCTGGTTCCTTCAAACTCCTCTGGATGTTCTCCAACTTATCAATGACTTTCCTAAAATGTGGCATGCAGAACTGAATACACAAAACATGATATGTCCTGACTAGGGCACAGGTGGAGTTAGCTTCCTAGTTAACCTCTCTTTTAATACATTTTGTTGTTGTTGTTCAGTCATATTTGACTCTTCTTGACCCCATTTGGGGTTTTCCTATCAAAGATACTGTAGTGGTTTTCTGTTTCCTTTTTCAGTTTATTTTACAGGTGAGGGAACTGAGGTGAACACAGTCAAATGACTTGCCAAGGTCACACAGCTATTAAGTGTCTGAACCCAGATTTGAACTTATGAAGATGAGTCTTCCTGACTTCTGGCCCAGCACTCTATCCACTGTACTTTCAAGTGTCTCACTTTAAGGATTGGTTTGTTTGTTTTAGGCTATCTTATCATTCTATTGACTCATACTGTGCTTGAAGTTCATTAAAACCCTAGATCTCCCCCACCCCAACCCAGACAAATCTGGCCCCACCCTCCTCATCTTACAAATGAATAATTTAACTTTTTTTTTTCCAGTGTGCCAGTGAGTTTATCAGTGTAGAGAGCTCCTCATAAGGACTTTCTCAAGCTAATGCAGAAAGGCACTTCTCTGAAAATTACAGGATTTAGAGAGTTAGGAATGAATGAATAAGCATTTACAAAATGCTTCCTAAATGCTAAACAAGTGACTCAGTGGATAGAGTACTAGGCCTAGAGTCAGGAAGACAAGTCTTTGTGAGTTCAGATCTGGCCTCAGACACTTACTAGCTATTTGACCCTGGGCTAGTCACTTAATCCTGGTTGCCTCAGTTTCCTCATCTGTAAAATGAGCTGGAGATGAAAATGGCAAATCACTCCAATATCTTAGCCAAGAGAGTCCAACAGAACTGAAAAAAAAAAAAAGGGAATGAACAGCAGCAAAAGTGTTATATACATTATAAAACAGTTCCTCCCTGCCCTCAGGTGGATTACATTCTAATAGGGATAGACTACACCTATAGGGTAGTGTTAGACAGGGAGGGGTGATTTGGTAGAGGAAATCAGAGGAAAGGTGAATGGAACTGCTGGGTAATTGACTAATAGGATTGACTGACATACCATGGGAGTCTCTTCACTAGAGCTTTTCCAGGAGAAGCTGGATTTTCACTAACCAGGTAGCTAGTAGAGTGAATTCTTCAGGTATGAGTTGGACTGGATAATAATGGTCATCTTCAGTTTCCTTTCCTACTGAGTGCTGATTGATTAGCAAGAAGTGGAGCCTGTTTAGGGACTGGGATGAGGAGAGCCCGGGAAGAAGGGTAAGAAAGAGCTGGGACATGGGCCAGAAAATGCCTGGAGTCCAGCATAGTTTGTCTGAGTCCTGCTAGATAAATTCTAATCAATGTAGACAGCAGTGCCTGCAGGGTGGAGGCATAGGGACCAGGTAGAAAGGAGAGTGGAGTGCAGCTGTACAGCACAAAGATGGCAGCAGTGTAGCAACTGAGAGGTTAATTGACTTGCCCAGCCTCTATGGGTTAGAAATGGGACTTCGAAGGCCAACTTTTTGTCTACTATTTATTCCTATAAAATTTCATGGTATTAGATTTGACCCAGTGTTCCAGCCTATCGGGATTTTTGGGGATCCCAACTCTGTCATCCAGCCTGTGAGGTACTATCCTTCTTAGTTTACTAATCCTTGTCTTCAATCTGAATCTGGAGGTTCTGTTAATGTTTGCATGAGGTGCATGGTTATTGTTCAGTAATATGTATCCCTTTAATATTTTAGCTTGAACCAGGAAGACCATTACCATCCCCTAATGACCTCAAAAGAAAAATACTGATCAAAAACAAACGACTGAAACCTGAGGTGGAAAAAAGTAAGTCAAGTACACCTCTATACCAATTTAACAAGGTATGTTGTTTTATGTGTCTGGACAAGGTAAGTGTCCAGTATGGAATATATTTCCTTCTTTCTTAGCCTCATATCTCTCAAGTGCTCTTAATAAGTTTGTTCTTGCAATTTGTCAGTACAGTAAGCTCAATTTGGAAGGTTCTTGCTAAATTTAGCATAATTTGTCCCTCATTTGCTTTGAAAGGAGTTTTCTGCATTTGAGTTCTTAGTATGTATTTCCTTAAAAAAATATTCTTGAGGACTCCAGTATCCATATTTTTTCTCTGACATTGCTGTCAGGTCAGTGGATAAATAGCTCCAAATAGCATGATGCTGGCACTGATACTTTGTGTCCCAGTGCATAGGTCACGCATTTACTATCTCCAAAGTTGTTTACATCAGATTTTTTGGTCTGAGCCATTTTCATGAAAGCATATGATTAACCTGAGGGTGCTGCCCTTCACTGCTGCAGGATGATCTTACTTTTCAAACCTAGGGAGTAGAATTTGGGTCATTCTATGACTCAATTCACTGAAAGATTTTTATCCATGTGGTTCTATAGCACCAGTCACTTCATTTGAACTATTATTTATTATGCAAACCACCATCTTAGGAAATGAGTGTGATACAAACCTAGATAAACAATCAAACATTAATCAACACCTACTGTGTGCCAAAGAATAAGACTTTGTCACTGCCCTCCAAGAAGTTTATAATCTAAGAGGAATTTTTGTTTTAATTGTTTTGCAAAGTACCTTCAGTGCCATGAATTTCAGTAGACTATGGGGAGTTCTGAAAGTTTGGAGCAAAGGAGTATGTGATCATAGCCTGGTTTTAGGAAGGTGTATCTCGCAGTTGTATGCAGAATAGATTGGAGAGATAAGAGACCAGAAGGAAACAGAGCCAAGATTTTTGCCTTAGTTAAGAGGAGATGTAATGAGGACTTGAGCAAGGATAGTGGCAGTAATTATGGAAAAGGGGGAAATTTTTTAGAGATATTTTAGGAGTGGAATCAACAAAACTTAAAAAATGATTGGATGTGAATGATGAGTCAAATCAATAAGCATTTAGTGCCTACTATGTGTCAGGCACCATACTAAATTTAGTAGATACAGAGAAAGGCAAAGGACAGTCTCTGTTACCAAGTGGCTTATAGTATAATGGGGGAGACAGGCAAACAACTGTGTATGAACATGGCATATACAGGATAAATTGGAGATAACTTCATAGGGAGGGCACCGAGATTAAAAAGGACCAGGAAGGACTTCTTACAGAAGTTGGGACTTGAGCTAGGGAAGTCATGAAGTAAAATCATGAAGTGGAGAGAGAGAGAATGTGTTCCACGCATGGGGGAAGTTATGAAGGTAGAAACAACAGGAATTGGCAGCTGATTAGATATATGGGTCTGAGAGAAAGTGAGAAATCAAGGATGACTCCTAGGTTGCAAGGTTGGATGCCTGGGAGGATGAGGATGTTGTTGACAGTAATGGGGAAGTTAGGAAGAAGGGAGGAGCTGGGGAAAATGATAATGAATTCAGTTTTGAACATGTTGAGTTTGGAATATCTGTTAGACATCCAATTCAAGATGTCCAATAGGAAGTTGAAGGTGTAAGACTGAGGTTAGGGCTGACAAATATAGCTGAAAATCTGCATTGAGATGATAATTAAATCCATAGGAGCTGATAAGACATTCAGAGGAATAGTATAGAAGAAGAAGAGAAGTAATCCCAGGACAAAGTCTGCTAACCCACAGTAAGCAGGCATGACCTGGAAGAAGATCTATCCAGAATAAAAATATGAGGAGTGTTCAGACAAAGTAGGAGGAGAACCAGGATAGTGTTATGAAAACCTTAAGAGAAGGGAGTATTGTAGAGAAGAGGTTGCTCTACAGGTCAAAGGCTGCAGAGAGGTCAAGGAGCATAAACATTGAGAAAAGGCCGTTAGATTTGGCAATTAAAAGGACATTGATAATTTTGGAGACTAGTTTTAGGTTGAGTGATGAGGTCAGAAGCCAGATTACAGACAGTTACAGTAAGAATGAGAGAAAAGGAAGTGGAGGCATAGATTGTAGATGACCTTCTCAAGGGGTTTAGCTACAAAGAAAGAGGAATAATATGGGACAGTAACTAGTAGAGGACAGACCCCCATCTTTTTTTTTTTTAAGAGATGGGGACAGTCATGGTTATGTTTGTAGGCAGTAGGCAAGCAGCCAGTAGATGGGGAGTTTGAAGATAAATGAGAGACCAGAGATCATAGTGAGTGAACTCTTCTGGGTAAGATGGGTCTACTTGTGCATGTGAAAGTGTTTGCCTTATCAAGGAGGAGGGGCATCTTATTGTGTGGGTTGGTGGTGAAGGAGGAGATAGTAGAAGAAAGCATCTGAGTGATATGAGGTAAGGTGGAGGCACTAAGGGAGAGCTCCTCAGTGAGTGGCCTCAGTTGTTTCACTGAAATAGGAGGCTAAGTTCTCAGCTGAGAGAGTAAAGCTGGAGGAGCAAGGGGAGGCTTAAGGAGGGATGAAAAGGTTTGGAAAGCCTATGCTGAATAGGGTAATGAATCAGTTAGGTAAGAATTAGAAAACTGACTTGCCCCAGTGAGAACTCAGTTGAGATTGCAGTTTGTAGTACATCCAATCAGCACAGTCTCATGAATTTCTCCAACTTTGTTTAGCAGCATGTGAGTAAAGCAAAGGTAGCAGATAAAGGCAGTTCTCCAAAACTGAAGTTTGGCAGGGCAAGATCTGTGATAGGGTGAGAATTAAACTGGTTCACTAACTTGTCAAGGTGAAGAGGAGCATGTAGAGCCAGGGCAAGATTAATGGCTTCAGAAAAAACTGAGGGGGTAGAAGCGTTGGTGGACACAATGGATATGAAGGATGGAGTGCACATGTGTAACCTGTATTGAGTTGCTTGCCTTCTCAATGAGGCTGGGTAGAGAGGGAGGAGAGGAGAAAGTTTGGAACCTGGGTTTTAGAAACAAATATTGGAAGTTGCTTTCACGTGCAACTGGGAAATAAGATATACAGGCAATGGAGTATAGAAATCTATCCTGCCCTACAGGAAAATAGAAGGAGAAGGGGATAAGAGAAGGTGGTTGGGGGGGATAGAAGGGAAGGGCAGATTAGGGGAAGGGGTATTCAGAATGCATGCCATCTTGGGGAGGGGGCAGGGATGATATGGGGAGAAAATCTGCAATGCAAAATCTTGTGAAAGTGAATGTTGAAAACTAAAAATAAGGGCAGCTAGGTGGTGCAGTGAATAGAGCCCCGGCCCTGGATTCAGGAGGACCTGAGTTCAAATCTGGCCTCAGACACATAACACTTACTAGCTGTGTGACCCTGGCAAGTCACTTAACCCCATTGCCTAGCCAAAAACAAACTAAAAATAAATTAATACAGAAAAAAAGAAGAGAGGGTTTTAAAGCAGCAGCAAAGGTATGATAATAAAAAATCATAATCACATGTGAGAAATTCTGAGTTCATGAATATGGAAGTAGAATAGTTGTGTGTGATGGCAAGCACACTTAGAGATCGTGGTCAGAGATGTGACCATTTCTGTGTATAGCTGAGGTTGGATGGAAGAGTAGGTCATGAGAGATAAATAAATTGGGAAACTTGGAAGTTAGAGTATTGGAAGGAGTATCAGTATATAAGTTGAACTCCCTTAGTATGAGGGCAGGAGATGGAAGAAAAAGATGGTGTACCAGATGCTGAATTCATTGAGGAAGGAAAGAGTGTGTTCTAGGGGTCCACAAATAGTAGTTATCAAAATCTTGATTGAGCAATAAATATGCATTGAATGAACTATTTACTGGATGTGGCAGTGAGGAAGTAAAAGCATTCTGACTCCACCACCACCATCAATGAGTTGGCTATAAGTGAAAATGCAACCAGTGTTGGAAGGGCTGGTCAGGGATGCTGTGTCTTCATTAAGGAACCAGGTCTTAATTAATATAAGAAGATGGATAGAATGAGTAAGGAAAAGGCTTAAAATGAAAGTAAGTTTCTTAACTATAGATTAAGCATCCCAGAAAGTTCAGTGAAGGGGACAAGTGGATCTAGACTGGCATGATGTTGGGTTGAATAAGTGAATGGGCGGTAGAGTACAGGGAATGGTATTTGTACGGTGATAGTTGGAAGTTCAAAATCAATGGGATAGGAAAAGTATGAGGGGGTATGGGGTAGGAGTATGTTAACTATTGAGGAATGAGTTCAGGAAGATTTTTATCCCAAGGAGATCAGGTAGCCATTGTGGAGGTAGAACTAGTTAGGGGGTCTATGGCTGGGCCTTCTTAGGCTATATTGATTCTAGAAGGGGAACCACCAATCACTGATTTGGATTTAGGGTGGAGTCATCTTAAGAGACCAGACCAGGAACCAGTATGGACATGGAACAGGTGGGAGGATTAAGATGGCAGTGAAGAGTGAATAGTAAGGAAGTGTCAGCATGGCTGGGCCTTCTCACAGTATGCCTAGAACACTGAAAGGTGAACTGTTCATATAGCCTATGTGTGTCACAGATGGGCCTTACACCCATGCTTTCCTGACTTTGAGGATTGTGCTCTGTTAACACTACACTTGGCACATATCGACTAATAATAATGATTATTCATAATAAGGCATATCTAATTTAACCATCTTTATTACTATCATCATCATTATTATTATATAGTTGAAGGCTTGGGATTAAATAAGATCCTGTTTCCTCTCCAAGGGAAAGAATGAAAAGGGAGGAGAAAAAAAGTCAATAGAACACTGGAGAACACACATATGTAGGGAGGAGAATAAGTAAAGCCTATGAAAATGGTAGAGAGGTAGGGGAGAAGTATCATGGCACCTAAAGGAGTCTAAACAGAGGTTGGTCAACAGGGACAAATAAAGAAAATTCAAGACACAAACACAAGGAGAAAAAGTTAGATTTGACAGTTATGGAAGGTCAATTATGCCTTTCATGGGAGAAGTTTCACTTGGATGTTAGAGATGGAAGGGAAGTGGAAAGGAACTGGGAATTAAATACTTAGGGAGGGTATAGAAACAAAAAAGATAACTCCTCTTTTGGGAAGTTTGATAATCAAGAAAGAGGTTAAATGGGACAGGATTTAAGTCAGTAGCTGGACTGAATTTCTTTTTTTTAGAATATCATCACCTGATTGGGATAGTAGGCAGATGGGAAAGAGTCATTAAAAGGAATTAAATTAAGTACAAGAAAGAAAGGAATAAAGGTTGCAAAGATTGGGGGGGGGGAGGTGAAGAGCAAGCCATTTACTAAAATGGTTTTAGTAAAGGGTTGGAATCATTATGGAAAGTGGGAAAGTACCAACAAAACCCAGCAGCAAGAGATAGAAAGAGAAATCCCACTTAAAATAACTAGACATTATAAAATATTTGGGAGTCCATCTGCTAAGACAAACCCGAGAATTATAGGAACACAATTACAAAACACTTTTCACTCAAATAAAAACAGATCTAAATAATTAGAGAAATGTCAATTGCTTGTGGGTAGGTGGAGCCAATATAACAAAAATGACAATTCCATCTAAGATAATTTACTTATTCAGTGCAGTTCCAATCAGACTACCAAAGAATTATTATATAAAGCTAGAAAAAAATAGCAGAATTCATCTGGAAGAACAAAAGGACAAGAATATAAAGGGAATCAATAAGGGAAAAAAAAGGTTAAGGAAGGTAGCCTGGCAGTTCCAGATTTCAAACTATATTATAAAGTGGTAATAATAAAAACAATCTGGTACTGCCTAAGAAATAGAGTGGTGGATCAATGGAATAGATTAGGTGCACAATACACAGTAGTAATCTAGTATTTGATAAACCCCAAAATCCAAGCTTTGAGAGTAAGAACTCAACATTGGACAAAAATTGCTGGGAAAACTGGAAAGCAATTTGGTAGAAACTAGGCACAGACCAATATTTCACACTGTATACCAAGATGAAGTCAGAATGGTTAAATGATTTAAACATAAAGGGTTGATAACATAAGTAAATTAGGAGAGCATGAATAAATGTACCTGTCAGAACTATGAAGAATTTATGACCAAACAAGAGAATTATGGGAAATAAAATAGATAATTTTGATAACATGAAATTAAAAGGCCTTTGCACAATCAAAACTTATGCAGCCAAAATTAGAAGGAAAACAGCAAACTGAGGGAAAAGTTTATGACAGGTTTGTCTAATAATGGCTTCATTTCTCAAATATATAGGGAACTGAGCCAAATTTATAAAAAAAAAAAGCCATTCCCCAGTTGAAAAATGGATAAAGGACAGTTTTCAGGAGAAGAAATCAAAGCTGCCAATAGTCACATGAAAAAAGCTCTTAATAACTAATGATTAGAGAAATGCAAATTAAAACGTGGATACCACCTCATACCTGTCAAATTGGCTAACATGACAGAAAAGGAAAATTAAATGCTGGAGAGGATATGGAAAAATTGGAACACTAATTCATGGCTAGTAGAATTGTGAACTAGTCCAACCATTTTGGAGAACAATTAAGATCTATGCCCAAAGGGCTATGAAACTGTGCATATCCTTTGTCCCAGAAATACCCCTACCAAGTCTGTATCCCAAAAAGATAAAAAAGGGGGGGGATGACCTGTTTGTACAAAAAATATTTTTATAGCAACTTTTTTTGTGATGACAAAGAATTAGAAATCAAGGGGATGCCCATCAATTGGGAAACGACTGAACAAGTATGTTGTAGTATATGATTGTGATGAAATACTATTGTGCTACAAGAAATGAAGAGCAGGGTGGTTTCAGAAAAACGTAGGAAGACATATATGAACTGATGCAAAGTGAAGTGAGTAGAACCATGTCATTGTACACAGTAATAGCAATATTGTAACAATGATCAACTGTGAAAGACTTAGCTACTCTGATCAAGACAATTACCCAAGGCAGTTCCAAAGGACCCATGATGAAAGATGCTATGCAACTCCAGAGAGAGAAGTGAGGAACTCTGAATGTATAGTGAAGGATACTTTTTTTACTTTATTTATTTTTATTGTTTTATTTTGTTTGCATTTTCTTTTACAACTTGGCTAATATGGAAATATGTTTTCCATGACTTCACATGTATAATTGATACCAGATTGTGTGCCTTCTCAAAGAGGGGGGATGGGTGGGTGGGAGGGAGAGAATTTGGAACTCAACATTTTAAAAAAATAATTTTTGAAAAATTTACATGTAATTGAAAAATATTTAATGAATTAAATGAAAAGAATTTTTTAAAAAGAAAGTGGAAAAGTGTCATAGAGATTAGTACATGAATTTGTTGAAGATGAGGAGATATAATCAACAGTAATTAATAATTACCAAGTCATTTAACTTCTGTTTGCCCCAGTTTCCTTAGCTCCAAAATGGGGATAATAATAGCACCTACCTTCTTGTTGTGAGGATACATCACAGTGCCTGGCACATAGCATGCATTATAATGATACTTATTCTCTTTCCACCCCAAAAAATATTTTCCAAAAAGGACATGTTGGATGACCACAGAACAATATTCTGAAGGTATCAGTAGAAGAATACGAGAGAACTGATACCTCCATCTGACTCTTTGACTTGTTGGGAGTAAAAGAAGTGTCTGCTGGAGAAAATTGTAAAGGTGGTATGTTCGAAGAGAAAAATCAGAGGATGTGAGAGTTTATTTCCAATAGGATTGGAATTCTGCAAAGAACAGTAGAAGGGACTAAGGAAGGGGCAGTCAGGGGTGTTTAATCCTGCAGAGGGGATGCGCTGAGCCAGCTAGAGATCAGAAATTAGGAAAAGGTATCAGGCAAGAGAGTTTGTGAGCTGTTACAGGAACTTGGGACACAGGTTTGAAAAGACAAAGAAAATCCAGATGAAGAATGACATTAGGCATCCCCAGATATGTGGGAATGAGCCTTCTAAGTAAAGACTACACTTTATAAAGAATATCCTCCTCTGCACTAGCTTCCCCAGAGATAAACATAGAGGTTCCCAAGCCATCTGATTGACTGCTCATTCTGAAGTTTCCTTATCAGTTTTTGTTTTTATTACAAAACATGAACTCATAATATGTGACTTAATTCATCTTTTTTTTTTAAACAGAACAGCTTGAAGCTTTAAAAAGTATGATGGAAGCTGGAGAATCAGCAACCCCAGTAAATATCTTAGAAGATGACAATGAAGAAGAAATAGAAAGTGGTGAGTTTTAAAATATCATGTTTATTTGAGTACTTTGAAAAGCAAGGTAAGAGTGTGCAAACTAACTTTTTTTAAAGTTTAATTAGCCTTTAAGTGAGTAAATGACCTTTTAATCAATTATGTTTCATTTAGGCCTCATGTACCAATCTGCTATCTTAATGTTCTTCAAAGCCAAAATGTGACATGGGAGCATGACTATTACTTTAATATTCAGATTATGTCATAGATGGTCCATCCTATTTTCCACTGTAGATTCAATTGTTGGGCATAAATTCACAGCATGGGAACCCTTGAAGCATTTTCAGAAGGCATGGGGTTAACAAAACAACTCCATGCTCTAGGTTTTTGCTCATGAACAGGAACATGAATTCTGGTTTTACTTATATCAGCTCTGAATGAGCAGAATCAAAGAGCATTGAAAATGAGTACAAATGCAAATACAAGTGGTGAACCTGTATCTAGGGCAACAAAGTAGCACAGTGGATAGAGTGCTAGGCCTGGAGTCAAGAAGACCTGAGTTCAAACTCGACCTTGGACACTTACTAGATGTGTGACTCTGGGCAAATCAATTAACCTTATTTACCTCAGTTTCCTCATCTATAAAATGAGCTGGAGAAGGAAATGGCAAATCACTCCAGTATCTTTCCTAAGAAAACCCCAAATGGGGTACAGAGAGTTGGACATTACTGAAAAATGACAGAACTTACATAGAAAGTAAATTGGAGAAATGTGGCAGTTATTTGGATAAATAAGACTCCTGAGGTCCCCAAGTCATTTTAGATGAGGTAATGAAGCAAAAGCAGATTTTTATTGACTGTAATATTAATAATGAGAATAACCTACACTTTTATAGTCCTTTATAATTTACAAAGCATTTACTTCACAATTAACTTTAGATTAGTAGTATATAAATACCTAAAAGCAAAGACAGTTATTTATTGCTTTGCCATAATGCTGTTATCCTTTTCAGAAAGGGGAAGCAGTAAGAGTTGTTATTCCAAACCTGGCACTCTAGCAAGGAGAAGTTAGTTTTTAAGAAGCAGTAATGCAGACCTTGAGGAGAAGAGACTTCATAACAACAACAGTAACAGTAATAATAACTAACACTAGCTGATAATTAGTGCTATGTGCACTTTAAGATTTGCAAAGCACTTTATAAATATTATATAACTTACAAGTATTATGTAACAAAAATTATATCATTTGATCCCCACAACAATACTGAGAGGCAGGTGCTATTATTATCTCCATTTTATAGATGAGGAAAATGAGGCAGACAGGTTAAGTGACTTTCCTAGGGTCACAGCTGATAAATATCTGAAATTGGATTTGAACTCAACCTGACTCCAGGCCTGGTGTTCTTACCCGCTGATCCATCTAGCTGCCCAGAAGCCTAGAATATGTTGATAGATAAGATATACTCTGACCATAGACTTTGGGTGAACCAATTTCAATGGGTTCAGAAAATGGATAGCTATCCCTTGGACAAAAAGTCTATACAATCAGCCCAGAAGGATAGAAAGTTCTCATAAATTAAGTTAATAAAAGAGAAAGAGAAATAATTTCAAATAAGGAAAATGGTGGCTTGTGTAAAGGGATCTATGTGAAGTACAAGAAACTCATTAAGTGAATGAATGTAAAAACATTTAATTAAGGGCTTACTGTGTATTATTCCTCTTTAGGAAAGGGTATAGGAATAAACATTAGGTACCTGCCATGTTACAGGAACTATGTTAAGTGCAGATATGTGTTCTTCACAACAGTCATGGAGGTAGATGCTTTTAGTATCTCCATTTTACAGTGAGGAAATTGAAGCAGACAGATGATAAGTGACTTGCCCGGGGTCACACAGCTAGTAAGTGTCTCAGGTTGGATTTGCACTCGGATTTTCTGACTCCAGGCCCAGCGCTGTGTCTTCTATGCCACCTAGAGTCCCTGCCCTCGACAGCTTTACATTCTAAACTGATTAGCCGATTTAGGTTAATTGACTTACTTGTCCGGGTATATTGTAGAAAGGATTCTAGCTAAGTTGGCCTCTGAGGTCCCTTCCAGTTCTGAGATTTTGGATTATTATGACTACTTTAAAATAAGGAAACTGAGATACTAAAAGATTAAAAGACATTCCTACCTTCACATAACTAATCACTGTGTGAGTTGTCTCCTTGAAAACAAATCATCTGACTTTTAAGTCCATGGCTCTCTTTACTATATAAAGTCATCTGGCAGTCTCAGACTTTATTTCACTTTACATGTGTGGGCAGCCTTATTGTTTGTTTTGAAATGTATTATTGAGGAGTTTCAAAATATATTGCAAATCACCGGGATAAAATAGACCATTGGAGCTGGTAAACAAGATGACAGAAAATTGGCATTTAGCTGAATCATGAGTAACACCAGTGTTTCATAACTATGATTTTTGTTATTAAGTTGTTTTTCAGTAGTGTCCAATTCTTCATGACCCCATTTGGGGTTTTCTTGGCAAAGATACTGGAATGATTCGCCATTTCCTTCTCCAGCTCATTTTACAGATGAGGAAACTGAGGCAAACAGGGTTAAGTAAGTGACTTGCCCAGGGTCACACAGCTAGTAAGTGTCTGAGGCCAGATTTGAACTTGTTTTTCTGACGCCGGGCTTAGCACTCTATCCACTGTGCCATCTAGCTGCCTTAAAATATAATAGGTTGGGATTATATGGGATATCCCAAAAGTCAGGGCACTTTTAGCTTAAAATTACACTATGACTTTTGAGATATTCTTATAGAATATCTTTTGTCTAAAGAATTCAAAATAGCTCTACATATAGTTTCTCACTTAGAGAGAGGGTCAAAATTATGAAGTTTGGAAGGATAATTAGGTAGCTGAGGGGAAAAGGCTTAACTTAGGGAAGGTCAGTAATTTGCTTGAAGTCACACAATTAGATCAGGATCATAGCTCCCCACTCAAGGAGCTCCACAGTTGAATTCTTCTCTATGATGAATTCAACCCCTTAGCAAACCAATGACTATTTCTCTGACTTCCCACATGCTTGTGATAATTAACAAATTCATACAGCTTTCAAAACTCACCCCGGAGCAACAATATGACACTCAGGAGGCCTCTCCCCTGTGTTAAAGTCCTACATTGCCAAATGCCATTTGGACATCTTCAAACTCAGCACATTCAAAACAGAATTCATTATCTTTTCCTTAGGACCTTCCCATCTTCTGAACTTGCCTATTGCTGTTCAAGGAACCACACAACCTGGGTATCATTCTGAACTCCTCCCTCTTACCCTACATATCTAGTCCTCTGCTAAGTTTGGTCACTTCTACTTTAGCAGCGTTTTGCACGTGTCCCTCCTCCACTTGCACAGCCACAACCTTAGTTCAAGCCTTTATTCCCAGGATTATTTACAGTAGTCCTCCGCCTGGCCTCAGGTCTCCCATACTCTAACTCATACTCTCCAGTCAGCTACCAAGATGTTTTCTCAAACATATGTCTCACAGTGTCATCTACTGCTCAATAAACTCTTGTGCTTTCCTATTATTTGCCAAGATCAAATATGAATTTTTAGCAGTTAAAATGTTTTCTTACCTGGCCCTTATCTACCTTTCCATTCTTCTTACAGTACTTTTCTGTGATCTAGAAACACTGGCCTACTTGCATTTCCTCAAACATAACACGCTCTCTTGTATTTCTTTACCTTTACCTCCCCACTTCTTGTAATTCTCTGCCTATTCATCTTCACCTCATAGTTTCCTTGGCTTTCTTTAAGAATTAGCTCAAATCCTACCTTCTGCAGGAAGCCTTTTCCAGTCTTTCATTCTCTCCCCCTGGCCCCTGCTGCTGCTGTCTTCTTCTCTCAGATTGCCTTCCATCTACCATATATATCCTGTTGACATTTTGTCTCCGTATTTAGAATATGAGATCCTTGAGGGCAGGAACTATTTTGACCTTTGTTTGTATCTTCAATGCTTAGCACAGTGCCTAATTACATGGTAAGTGCTTAATAAATATTTGTTAACAATTGTCTGAACAGGCAATCATTGGTCGGGGGAGCATAGAATCACAAAATCTCATAGTAGTAAGGGACTCCAAACATAATCCAGCCCCACTTTTACTTGGAAAGAATCCTTTCTTCAATATCCCTCCAAATGTATTTGAGACCCATTAGCTCATGAAGCAGCCTATTTCTTTTCTTTTCTTTTCTTTTTTGGTAGCTCTGATTGTTAGGAAGTCCAACATTTAGACTTTCTTTACATCAAGGTTGAAATCGTCTCTTAGCAACTTCTACCTGTTGTTCCTAGTCCTGTCATTTCACACTAACAAAAATAAAATGTAATCTTTGTTCCACTTGTTAGTTCTTCAGATATATGAAAACACTATCATACCTCCCCTGTCACTTCTTCAGGTTAAATATAACAAAGTCCCAAATTGAGTAATTAATGAATCCCTGAAGTGATTACATGTATTCAAATCTGAATGAGTCAACATTATATTTGCATAAAATACGTTATTGGTTCCAGCCCAATGGAAATATACAGTGTAAATTCAAATAAGGTGACCACTTCGGAGGATTCAATAGTCACTTCAGTAGAGACCTACCTGTATGCCCACTTTCCTCAGTCAGTCTTTATAGAACATGATCTTAAGGCCCTACATCATCTGATTTGCCCTCTTGTGGATATTGCTCAGTTTATCAGTGCCTTTCCTACAGTGTGTCATTTAGAGGGAGCCATGAACTCCTCTTGGAACAGTGACTATAGGGGGCAGCACATGTCTGTTGCCTAAACTCTGGGATGGTTCTTCATTTCTCTCACCAACACCTTTCTTCATTTCTAGTGAATCATTCGAGTATAATTATGCAAAATATTATCTATACCATCCATGCTACAAAGTAGCATAGTTCAGGAGAGCAGGAAACACAACCAGCTGAAGAATGGCAAAAGCTGTCAGGAAGTGATGTACACTAGTAAGACAGAATTTAAATTCATAGCACCCCGAAACACAAGATGTACATTGAATTACTTGGAAACCAATGTTGCAAGTGTATAAAAGAAGTTAGATCTTGCTTGGAGATCAGAAGTGATTTTTCAATATTTGAAATCCACAAAAATAGTTGTTCATTTATTCAGCTCATTAGACCACTATCTATTCAATAGTTTCTGTGTACTATGCTAGGTGTCAGAGGAAATAGAAAAGGACAAATTTTCTCCCTATATTCAAGGAGCACATACGACAAAGTTAAGATATTGTGCCAAGATGGGTGGAGCTGTGGCATGGAATAATTGGGGACACCTCCTAGAGAAATTGTGGAACCCCAAAGGAGCAATAATATTCGTTAGGCTAAGGACATTTCTAGATGGAGAGCAACATCAGTAATGGCTTGGCATTGGGAGTGGGTGTGGCATCCTTGAGGGCTAATGAAGAGGTCACCTTGGCTGACGTAGAAAATCCACAGCAGGAGAAGCAAGAGAAGTAGACTGGAGTCCGGCAAGGGAGAACCTTAAATTAATTCCTAGCAGTGGCACTAGATAATACTATGCCTGGTTTACTGTAGAATTAAAAACAAAAACAAATAAAACCCACCCAACTCATATAGTTCAGTTCAATTCAACAAGCATTTGTTAAACACCCATTATTTGTCATTCCTTCATTAGAATCTAAACTCCTGGAGAGTATCTGTTGTTTCATTCTTTGTTCCCTAATCACCTGACACTCTGTCTGGCACATAGTAGGCTAGAAGACAATTAATTGATGCTTCTTGATTGATTAATTGCCAAACACTGTGCTAGGTTATCTGGAGATCCAAAGACAAAAATGAAAGAGTCCCTGCCCTTGGGGAGTTTGCATTCTACTGGATCTTGGAGTTACACTGCTCATATTCCCTTAGTGTCACCTGGTATAAGTCAAAGTTCTAACCTTTAATAAAGGTTTAGATTTATTAGATTGTGTGTGTGTGTGTGTGTGTGTGTGCACGCATGTGCATGCATGCTTGACATTGCATTGTATATATATATATATATATATATATATATATATATATATATATATGTTATATATAATATATAAATTAGATTAAATTATATGTAAGTTAGATTTATTAGATTAATAAAAATTTAGATTATTTACAGCATTGGTCTCAAGGATTTCATGTGCATCTTTAAAATGAAAGGAAAGATTAAACACTGCTGATATTAGAAATGTAGGGTGGTATAGTGGCCTGGGGTCTGCGCTTAGAATTGGGAAGACTTGTGTGTATGTGTGTGTGTGTGTGTGTGTGTACGCGCACACGTGTGTGTGTGTGCTTGAGATTACATATGTGTGTGTGTATATATACACACACATATGTAAGTTATATATAATACATAAATTAGATTAAATTATGTATGTTAGATTTATTAGATTAATAAAAATTTAGATTATTTACAACATTGGTCTCAAGAATTTCATGTGCATCTTTAAAATGAAAGGGAAGATTAAACACTGCTGATATTAGAAATGTAGCTTGGTATAGTGGCCTGGGGTCTGCACTTAGAATTAGGAAGATGTAATCAAATCCCACCTCAGATGCTCACTGGCTGTGTGACCTGGGACAAGACATTAAGCTTTGCTCAGCTCAGTTTCCTCATCCGTAAAATGGCATAACAGCACTTACCTTAAAGGTTTGTTGTGACACCAAATGAGATAATATGTGTAAATATTTTATGAACCTTTAAATACTATATAAATATAAATTGTATTATTATTTTTATTACTTAGAAATAGGATTGTGTATCTCTTAACCGTCCTAATTCACTGTCCTCTCATCTTTTGGCTTCTATTATGTTATCCAGAGTTTTATATCAGTTATAGAATTCTTCCTAGACCCCAGTTGTTTTTAACACATTTTTCCATGCCTGTCACTTCATTAGACAGCACTGAAATCCCAATTGAAATTTCCAGTTTCTTTTCAGTAATGTTAGATCTGTATGATTGGGGTTAGTGGTATGTGTGTGTGTGTGTGTGTGTGTGTGTGTGTGTGTGTGCGCGCACATGCACGCATGCCCCCTCACATACGCACATGCAACTAGATACCTTAGAAGGTGTGAAATGTTTTTAGCCTTAAATATAATGGAGGCATTTGAGGATTAAGCTTTGAATACTCGTGTCTCACTGAGATGGAATTAGTATTCTCATCCTTGCCTAGCTGATGTCATTTCAGTTTTAAAATCAGAACCACATGTTTTTGAGACCTCTTCTCATTTGGCAGCATCATTCTCTCCTACTAGCCACCAACTTATATCCAAGCACTTGAACAATGCCTGGCAGTCTAACTCTTGCTTATTTGCTATTGTGATCATTTTCTCTCTTTCACATAGTTGACCAAGAGGAAGAAGCTCACCCAGAATTCAAATTTGGAAGTGAACTCTCTGCTGATGATTTCGGTCAAAAGGAAGCTGTTGCAAATAGTGTAAAGAAGGTTGGCATCTGTGTTCTATTCATTTGTCTTTTTTTTTTTTTGGCTATGAATCCCAGGAGAAGCTGCTTACTCTGAAATTGAGGAAATTTAACCCACAAGAAAATGAAGTTGCTGTTCATTTCCCCCTCTAAACTTCTTAGAAAAAGGAGGCCCTTTTAGGGGACAGACTTTTGCATCCTAATTTAAGACACACAATAACAATTTTAAGAGAGTACTGAATTATCCCCTGGTAATACATAATGATTAAAAAATCAGTCAGTCAATAAATACCTATTAAATTTCTTCTGTGTGCCAGGCATTGTGCTAATGCTATTAGGGTCCATCTGGCATTGTCCCTTATAGTATTGCCACAAGCCCCTTCCTCTGTATTTGGAAACCAGCTACTCTATGGAGAAAAAATATAAACACACAGAATTCAAGTGGCGAAGTTGGCCCTTCCTAGTTAATCTAGGCTGGTAAGAGAGTGGTACCTGAGCCATCACTAGAAAGCCAGGCTACTAAGGAAGCATCTGCCCTGTTGAGTAGACTAAAACACAAAGATCAAGGTGGTCTCAGAATACCAAAACTGTCACAAAAACATTGAAACTTTTTCAGGCTAGAAAATAGAATCCAAATGTGATCATAGAACCTCCAAAAATGATTGGAAAGGATTAGAAGTTCTTTAATGCAAACTCCACATGTTTAAGAAAACTGAGTCCAAAGAAAAGGTAAGTAATTCGCCCAACATCACGTAGCTAGTCTACGTAAGAGTGGAGTCTGAACTTAGGTCTTCTGACTCACAGGCCACTGTTCTGGTACTTCATCAATAAATAGTCATATTTTAGCATGCCTTCTTCCATCTCCCCAATAACCCAGTAAAAAAAAAAGCATGAACTACTTTAATAATAAATAAGGCTGATCATGAGTGAACATACAATGTAAGACCATAGAAGCATAAGATTGAGTCAAGTCAAGTGAATACAGCATTTATTAAGCATCTGTTTTGTGCCAGACATTGTGCTGAGAGCTAGGGACACAAATTGGAAGGGGTGTTATAAATTATCTAGTCCAAACATTCTTAACTTTGGGTCCATGAATTTGTTTTTAAAAATATTTTGATAATGGCATTTCAATGAAGTTTCATTTGTAATCCTACTTATTTTATTTTATGTAATTATCATATTCTGAGAAGGATTCTATAGACTTCACCAGACTTCCAAAGAGGTCCATGACACAAAACAATGTTAAGAACCCCTGTTCTAATTCAACACCCCTTATTGTTACTGTTGAAGAAACTGAGGCTCAGAGATGTTAAATAACTTGGCCAAGGTCACACAGGTGGTAAGTAATGGAACTGGGATTCTTAGAGTGTGGTGTTATAATATGTGAATCCAGGTCTTCTGACACCAGATTTTCATAAAGATGAAAATGATGTGCTTACCAAATGAATGTGGTATGAATGTAAAGCAAAGTAAGGCACTGTTTCCATAAGCTACAGCCTCAAATTACTTCGTGTATTCAAGTTTTATGATTGTGGCTATATAGGACAGTCTTACATTCATAGACTTGGGGAAATTCTTATGCTAAATGTAAACAATTTTACATTGTTTTTCCCCTGATTGAGGCACTTCTCCCCACCCAGCTGGCAATAGCCTTCATCAGTAACCTTGCTCTCAACATTAAATAAAAAATAAAACAAAAAGTCATTTATTTTAATGCTGAATATATGTCTTACATGTTAGGGAGGCATGTTCATTTTTATTAGGTATTTCTTTAATAGTTCTCTCCACAACCATACTTAACCAACTTATTTAATAATTATGCCTCAAAATGTAAAAGTAAAGCTTTAAGTAAAAGAAAATCAGTATTAGGACAGTGAAATTAGGACAATCCCAGACAATGAAATGTCCCATCTTTTTTTTTAAACGTCCATTCATTGCTAAAAAAAAAAAATATACCAATATTAACTTACCCCTCCTTACTGTCTGTAAATGAAACAGATTTACATTATTTCATTCCAGTCCAGTAAGTATTTATTAAGTGCCTGCTAAGTGCTAGGCACTGTACTGCTGGGAATACACAGGCAAAATTAAAAACAAGTCATTGACTTCAAGGAGCTTACATGCTCCTTAGACATGTTCAAAATCATTGCACTATAAATGTTTATCCTCTTTATCCTAAAAAAAATCTTGGAAAATACTTCCTATTCTGGAAGAAACAGATTTCCTAGTATATTATGTGTGTTTGTGTTTCTCAACACACATACATAAATATGTAAAGGGTAATTTTATTTTTTGCAGTTTGGAGGGGTAAATATAATTTTTTTTCTCTTTAGGCTGCAGAAGACCTTGAACATGAAAACAATAAAAAGGTAACAAAAAAAAGAATTCCCTATAATTTCTACTTTCCTGTACTTACAGAAATAATTTTATTTGAATAATTTTATACAATCCTATATGTAGATTTTCATGGAAGTATTCAGTCCTTAAATTGCTCTTCCCTATTCAGAGAAATTTAAGCTTCTTACTTTCAGATATAACATTTTTATTTCATAATACGTAATACTCAAAAAAAACCTTCCAAGATATGGAAATGATTAAAGCCTAATGAAATCATACCAAAAGAACATATTAACCAAGTATAATGGCTGTGCTTAGGCATAACTAATTTGCACTAATGCTTACCCTAAAGAAAGGAACATGATTGATTAGAACGTATTCTTATCATTCAGTGCTATAGTATATAAACCTAGGCCTTTAAGATCAGCTTATTAAAATAAGAAATAAAAAATGACCCATTAGGTCGTTAGGTCTACCCCTATGGAACTGAATTAAAAGAAACTCTGGGCTAATAAAAAGAACTACATGATTATCTTGATGCTCTAAAACATTGACCTGACCTAAGAACATTAATTGCTAGCACTTCGCAAATTAAACATCAGTACCTTTTTTATTTGAGAAGAAATTAGATATTGACTTAACTACAGAGAAAGAACATTTTGTGGAGTTAGGTTCCTTAGTTAACTTTTAATTTTATTTCATAAAGATGAAAATGATGTGCTTGCCAAATGAATTCGTTATGAATGTAAAGCAAAGACACTGATTCCATAAGCCACAGCCTCAAGTCAGTCTGGCATGCTATGGGGATATTCATCTCACTTTTATTTTTTTTTTAATTTGGGTAGCAAGCATTGTAATGAACGCAAATGAAGGCTAGGGTGTAATTTAAAATTTTTTTTATTTTTTTCAATCATGAAAATAAGCCTTTTTCTCTCTCATGTCTCTTCCTCTCCTCCACCCTCATTAAAGAAGAAACAAAAACAAACCTCTTTTACAAAAATGGATGATCAAGCAAAACAAATTCCCTCATTGACCATGTCCAGATTTCTTTTTTTTGTTTCTCAGTCTACACTCTGAGTATAGGGCATTATTGTGATCACTGACTGCTTAACTGAGCACCTGTTCTATGTAAGAAACTGCATTAAACACTATGAGAAAGCACAGAAAGTGAAAGACACAACTTCAAGATCACAACCTCAAGACAGGCTAAAGAACTTGCGTTGTACGTAATGATCAGTGCTAATAGCAGGTGTTGAGTACCAACTTAGGCATGAAGAGAAGCCCTTTAGATGGTTTGAAGTGAATTCGCCAGGCAAATGGGCCAAGCAACCAATTTGACTTTCTCTTTAAAAAAGTCAATTTAGTCATTCGTTTTACTGATAAGACCCGTGGATTTACTCAAAACAGTGTGTTAATACACAGCTCGTAGTCTTGGGAGTTTGGGGCCTCAGCTTATTATCAAGTAGCTTTTTCAGCCTTTAAATATCACTCTTCAAAGTTTTCAGTGAAGTTATTGTTCTTTTATTCATTTAAAGCTAATTTTGTTATTTAGAGGTTTTATTTTTATACCCTGAATTTCCTGGACAGCAAACAGATTACCTCTTTCTTTTTCCATGTGACCTGACGCAATCTCAACCTATTAGAGATAGCGAGATGCCATATTATTTTAAGAAGAGGCTTCATTCAGAAGTCATAAACTAGTTGCTAATCTAGTATAATAAATGAAGAAGCCTGAGGTTAGGAATGAGCAGATCTAGGATCTAGTCTCAGCTCTCGTGCTCACCTGCTGAATGACACCAGGCAAGTTAATCAACCTCTCTGTGCCTTAGTCTTCTCATCTGTCAAATTGGGGATAATTATTCTTGCCTTACCTACCTCACAGGGCTGTTGTGAAGATCACTGAGACAACATTTGTGAAAGTTTTTTGAAGCGCTGTGGCAATGTAAACAATTATAATTATTTTTTGTTAATGTAATTAAACATCTCATGTTACTGCCTCCATTATTTGAGACCAGCATATACATGGCCTTGATGAAAACATTTACAACTTAGCCCACATTATTTATTAGAGGAAGAAAAGTAATAGTCTTTCAGTTTTCTATAATTTAGTCTTTACAAAAAAAATCTGCATTGGGATAATAGCTTTAATAAGCACTTTGGAAGAAATGAAAAGTGTTTATTCCTTTCAATATGTTTTCAGGGGTTAGTTACTGTGGAAGATGAGCAGGCGTGGATGGCATCCTACAAATACGTGGGCGCTACAACCAATATTCACCCATATTTATCCACAATGATCAACTATGCCCAGCCTGTAAAGTTTCAGGGCTTCAATGTAGCAGAAGGTAACATAAAAGGTTAAATATAATAGCTATATTTGTCTGCTTTGCCTTGTGCTATTGTGCAGTGTTGGAATCTGACTTAGTGCGTTTTCTTTCTTCCTTTTTTTTTTTTTTTTTTTTAATTTCTTTTTTATTTTTTGGCTGGAGGAGAAAGGATGTAGAGATTTGCTTGATAGACTGTCCATCGGTAGTATATCCCAGGACTGCTCTGTGATTAACTTGTTATTCCACTAATCGCCCACATGGTGGCTCTCAGATACTAGGAGTAGGTTAACAGAAGGTGGATCCTCACACTGCGTGGCCATATTTATCATTTAGCTGTATTTTCAAAGGACTTTTCTATATAAACTAGATTCCGTTGATTCATAGTTGTGTGAAGTGTTTAAACATTCCCTGAAATAACACTTGCTATGGGGTGATGGTAATCACCATTGTTGAGGAACATTTATACAGAGGACATGGAATTTGGCTGAGGCATTATACAAATTCTTTCCTGGCTCCTCAAGTTCATTGCTATTTTTATGTAAAAATTCTGTTGTGATTTGGAACTCAAATTTGTGTTTTAAAATGAATGTTTAAAACTGTCTTTACATGTAATTGAGAAAAAGTAAAATACTGTTTTTTTAAAATTCTGATGTGAATTAAGGAGAGGGAGAATTGTATTGAAGTACAATATTGGTCTCTATAACTTAGGAGTTGCTAATATGGTAAAGTAGCACATGCCTAGTGACATTTAATGTTACAAACTGCAGTTATACTTATTTGTTGGCTTATGTAGGACTATTTGATGGCAGTGTCTCTAAAGGGATATTTCTTTTCTTTTACAGAACGTAATATTCATTACAACATGTCGTCTTTTAATGAATCAGTTGGACTAGGTTATTTGAAGACGCATGCAATTGAATTTGTGAAGTATCCTTCTATGATAAGAGGAATAATAGCTAACTGTTTTCTTTCTTTTTTGTACGTGAGTTTCTGGTTTTCTCATTGTGAATACCCCATGAATTCTCTAGTAAATAGAAAGTAGATTGCCAGCCACTAACATTCCATTTGGGTAGTATGGAATCTTCTACATAATGAATTCCGAATTCCACATAAGCTACATTTTAAGATCTATCCTGTCTATGTAATGGATGTATACATAGCTGTATGAAATCCTCTGGTCTGTTTTAAGTTTATTATTGTTGCTTTAGTTCTTTTTATTCCATTTTCCTTAATAAGTTACACAGTTATAATAAACGGCAAATGAGTCGGATTTACCCCAAGGGAGGCCGAGTGGATTCCAGTAATTACATGCCTCAGATTTTCTGGAACGCTGGCTGCCAGATGGTGTCACTGAACTATCAAACCCCAGGTACGCGATGATGTCCAGTGAACCCAAGTTCCGGAGGAAGGCTCTGAGAGTATTATGCCAACAGATGCCATCCTTTTGCTTTTAGCATTTTTTGAAGGAAAACAGACATATGGCTTAATGACATGTTGGATGTGTTTTGGGAAAGTAAGAAGAGGGTCAGTTGTTAGAGATAATACATTTCACTGTATAGCAACATTTTCCTATACGGAGTCACAGATCTCTTGCTATGTGTCCTTACATTATCCACTTTCCATTTTTCTAAATTCCCATTCTTATAAATCAGATTTGTCCTCCTGCTTTCCAAGGGTAAAAGTAAATGGAAACAATTTGAAAAGCCTTTGCCATTTTTTGAAGAATCTTGCCTGTTTGGGCCTTTAGACAATCCTTAGTCCTTTGTTCACATTCAGCAAATATAAAACAATAAACAGTATACAGAACCTCATTTAAAAAAAAAAACTTGCTGTTAGAAAAAAAAATCCATCGATGACAAATCTGTAGGTACCAGAAGGACCTTGTTCTAGTAATAGGATAGAATCACAAAGAGTTCAGGGTTAGAAGGGACCCCAGTGATCCTATAATTATAGACTCAAGTCCAAACTCCAGTATAGAATGAGATTTCTACCTTGGAAGAGTTGAGGGAATGGCTTTGTCTATATTTTTTCTTTTTAGTTTGGGTTAAGAGACTGGGATCATTTGTTTTAAGATACAGATGCATGTCTACTATTTATTGCTTATCTTTAACAGACTGAAAATTTGTGTGAATGTATTAAAAAGAGAAAAAAGAAAAATTCTATCTATTTTATAAGACTATTTGCTCAGTTTTCTTCCTAAAACCAAAACTGTTTTCTTCTTACAGCAACATTCTGATTGGCTAGATGTGGATAAATTGAATTTCTTCCCTATCACTCAGTCAGTTCTTGCCCGTTTTCTTCATTCACCACACTCCAAGAATCAGCCTATGTTGATTAAAGACAAAATGTTCCATACATTCATCTATTACTTTTCATAATGTTGCATTTGCATTTCTTTGAAAAAGACTGATCATACAGGTAGCTCGATGAGATTGTGGGTAGAATATTAGACTTGGACTCAGGAAAGCCTGAGTTTGAATCCTACCTTAGACATTTATTGGCTTTGTGACCTAGGGCAAGCACTTAACCTCTCTCAGCCTCAATTTCTTTATCTGTAAAGTGGGGATAATAATAGCACCTACTTCATGGCAGTTATTGTGAAAAAACACAGGAGATTATATATGTAAAGAACTTTGCAAACCATATAAATGTAACTTAACATTCTGTATAAATGTTACAGTTAACTTTCAGTGACCAAAAGTACTTACTGAGTACCCTCTTGCGCAAGGCTCAATGCAAGATCCAAGCTTTTGTGCTGCCATAGACCATTAGTGTACTCAGAGACATTTTAAATTGGCAGCAGAGGTCACTTCAATTATCTTTAGAAGGGCTCAAGATATCTTTAATTATTCAGTACATTTATAATTTAGTTCATCAGATACATTGATGTGTAATCAAATAATGGAAAAGGCATTTATGATATATGGTGGGGGTGAGGGTTGGAATGAGAAGAGAACCTCACCATAATCCAACTATGTTCAATCAGTCTCTTTTATCCTTCTGCCACCCATTTAGAAAACAGGAACATGGCTTTGATTGCCAAGAATTTTAAAGTCTTACTCCCATCCTGCTGGTGTAAAAATCTTCTAGACCCAGCATTCTTAACTTTGTGTGTGTCATGGACCTCTTTGGTAGCCTGGTGAAGCCTATATCTCAGAATATTTTTTTAAATGCATAAGATGAAAATATAAGAATATTTTTAAATGCATAAGATGAAATACATAGGAATACAAAGTAAACAGATGATATTAATGTACAGTATCAACAATTTTTGTCAAGATATTCATCATGTGTTAAAGTATAATGAAATTCCATTATATTCACAAGCCCTTGAGTTAAGAACTCCTGCTCTAGAAGAATTTTCCTCAAAGTTCTGCTCTAAAATTAGGTGCTGTTTGGTATATGATTCTTGTCTAGTTCCTTGAGACTGAATGACTGTACATTCACATTGTTCCATATGTGGCCACATTATTTGCCTTGCCAATAGAGTCCAGAAGGTCATGCAGCTAGCCCATGAAAAATTGTGCTTCCAACTTCAGCTGGTAAGCAGGTTGAAAAGATAATGCCCAGGTTGCATTTTAAGGGCAAATTATTTTAAAGAACTGAGTGTTTGATCAGAGCTTCAGGAAAATAAATTCACATTCATTAAATATAAAAAAAATCATTAAAACTTCAAAGTATTACTTTAAAATCACCATGAATAACAAATCTTTTCTCAAAGGTCTGACACAAGTTTATTTCAATTTTGTAAAATTTGGTGATGTTTATTTTTTTATTTTTACCCCAAATTCTCAAGTTTCTTTGTGGCATGCCAGAAGCATCCTTTTTTAAACTAACTATTCTCCCCAGGCTGTACATCTGATTTCTATTATGAAAGATGGCTTTTCAAGATCTCCATTGTCCAGGGAGAGAAGATGCTAAATTATTTTTGTCTCTTGACAGATTTAGCGATGCAATTGAATCAGGGAAAATTTGAATATAATGGATCATGTGGGTGAGTAATGTGATTTAAGCTGTTGTCACTGTCTCAAGGCCCTGTGTTATAGGTTTAATAAAACCATGTCACTTTTAATTACATGTTGCCAAATTAAAGTCGGGTGTGAGAGACAAGACAGAAAAATGAATTTCCTAGATAGATTTACATTTGCAAAATACATAGTTTTCATCCACTAAACAAACCAAGGATTAAAAAGCCTTGCATTACATATAAAGCAAATGAGGTTACTTCCTCTTGTGTGTATTTTAAATTCAACAACTCATTGACAACATCCCTCACTCTCTCCTCCTTTCCTTTAGTGTCTGATGAAAAGGTGAACCTTCTCATAGAGATAAATCCCCCTTTGTGAACCCTCGATCTAGCCCATTTCATCTTCTCCAACAGATTGCCCCCCAAATCATGTCCTTTACTAATCTTCCTACCCCTATCTTCATTATCTCCTTATCTCCTGGTTCTTTCCTAATTGCCTACAAATGTGTCCAAGTCTCTCCTATCCTTAAAAAGAAACAAACAAAACTCATAACTCATTAAGCTCTGCCATCCTATCAAGTTATTGCCCCATTTCTTCTCCCTTTCTTAGCCAACATCTAGAAAAAGAAGCATACACTCCTTGACTCTGCTTCCTTTCCTCTCAATCCTTTGCAATCTGGCTTCCAACCTCCAAGTTATCAGTGATTTTAATTTAATTAAATATTATTATTTTTTATAAATGAAGAAACTAAAAATCGGAGAAAGTGAAGTTTGAGGCTCAGATTCACATTGATAGCAAGTGTAGAGCTAGGAATCAAGAAATTTAGTGCTCTTTTACTTATACTATGATACCTGCTGATCTCATCTAAAAGAGCTTATCATAGTCCATAAATCATTTTAAGAAGTCAAAATCTGGAATATAAGTATTCTGAATCAGTCATGTTGTTACATTATCAGATATTAAGAAGCAGTGGTGACCCATCCTATGAGGAGAGGTTAGGCCCTGACCACTTTGCACATTAGGATGAAGTGATAGGTAAGAGGTGCTAATGCATATATCTTAACGCTTCTGGGCAGCTGACTGGGGGATGCTCAGTCATGGTTCACTCATGGGGTAACTACTCCAGGTTTGGGTTAACAGAGTGATTTTTCACATCTTCACAGAGATTGCATTTACTCATTCTCTTTCCTCTTAGGACTTAAAATTATAATGGAGACATATGTTTAGTAAGCACTAGGATATATAATTTTCTGGCCTTCTGCCTAAGCCTTTTGTCTTCTTCCATTTGAAAAATAGATTATACTCAGTTCTGGGTGTCACGTTTTGAGAAGGATATTGATAAGCTGGAAAGGTTCTGGAGAAGGGTAATAGTGAAGGTTCTTGAGGTTATGCCAAATGAGGTTATATGAAAGAAAATATGGATGTTTATCCTAGAAAAGAAAAGATTTGGGGAGGTTGGAGCATGAAGCTATCTTCAAGTATTTGAAGAACTGTCTGTTGCAAGAAAAATTATTAGACTTGTGCACCTGTTGGTATTGCAGATAAAGTGTTGGGCTTGGAGTCAAGAAGACCTGAATTCAACACTGTCTCTTATGGTTACATTATGAACCTGAGAAAGACACTTAATTTTCTCAGCTTAAGTTTTCTCATCTGTACAATGAGGTTAATAATAATAACACTTAAATCACAAGGTGCTATATAAATGTTAGCTATTGTTATTACTTGGTCTCAGTGAGCAAAACCTAGAATGAATGAGGCAGAAGAGGCAAAGCAGAAAATTCCATTTCAATGTTAAGAAAAAAATTTCTGATGATTACAGACAGCTCCGTGCTAGTAGAATAGGCTTTCTTAAGAGTTAGTGGTTTCTTCTTCAGTGAAGGTCATCAGGAGAAGGCCAGATGACCACTTGTTGGCAGTGTTGTAGAAGGGATTCTTGTTCAGGCATGCATTGGATGAAATGGCCTCTAAGTTCCCTTCTAAAACTCTAATTTTTCATTCTGTGCAAAGCTCCACCAATAGAAACAAAGACGAAATGGGCTTTGGGATTGGGCTGGCTCCTGTTCCTTACTGAAAATTTAGGCCTCAGTCTTCAGCTTGTGTATTTTTTTTTTATCTGAAATCACCGGAAATTCAAGAACTATAGTAGACATGAAAAACAGAGATTTATCCAAGAGACAGCCCAGCTTAAAGAATTGATTTTGACAAGTTCAAAATTAATCCCTCCTTATACCAAACTTATTCATCACCTGCAAAGAAGGGAAGATAGTCCTGTTATGAATAAGGAAAAATATGGAAGGCCATCCTGTGTAGTTCTCTCCACCCTTCATCTTTTTAGCCTGAGTGTCAGAAAGATCCAAGGCAGCTACTGATGGGAAAACAAAAGGCCATCACCATTGGATAGCTTATTTGCCTTTTCTAGGGGTCAAGTTCAACTGACAGCCTGTGGTTCATAAAGCTGCCACCCACGTGCAGAACCTCCATAAAACAGTATTTCTAAGACTATGATGTAGCCAGCTCTAACAGGTTTGGCAGAGACAATTGTGAAATTTTCAGTGTGGGCATTTATACCCGAGAAATTGGCTGTTGCTGTAAATCAGGAATTGATTTATTGTTTAGATGTAAGAAAATGTTAATAATGCAGATTAAACTTAGAAGTGTGGGCATACATTATGTCCCCCCCACCCAGAACCTGGTAGTTAAATATTTACCAGCACACCTCTGTATTGCTCTATAAACATTGAGGAATTCCACAGGAATGCAGTAGAAGGCTCAGAGAATGAAATTATCACCAGATTGGAGTTCTAGTGACTAAAGTCCAATAATAATAATGATACCACCTGGTATTTAGATAGAACTTTAAGACGTTTACAAAGCCCTTTGCATCCATTATCTCATTTGAGCCTCCCCTCATCATAGATCTAGAAATGGAAGGATCCGTATAGTTTATCCAACACTTTCATTTTAGAGATGAGAAAACTGAGGTCCAGAAAGGTTGAATGAATTGTTCAAGTAACAGAATTCAGACCTGGAAAGGATCTTAAGAAATATCTCATCCAATTCGCTCCTTTCACAAAAAAATTAGGTGACTTGTCATATAAGTAGTAGCTAACAGAATTAGGATTAGAACCAGGTTGTCTGACTTCAAATCCAATACATTTCTGTAAGGAAGTAGGCTTCCTATTTTCTACCTCCAGTGAATGAATCATGATGGTTTTATAAAAATATCAGAATATGGATCAAAGAACATGCCCCAAAACTATCTGTGGCATGAAAACCTCAGGAATAAATCTAAGAATCCTTTATATTTTAATTTTGGTGGGAGTGGGGGGTGGAGAAGAAGGCAAGTAAATATAGCATACAAGCACATTTGACTTTTACATAAGACCTGATTTCAAAAGCTACTTCCCTAAATACCTAATGAAAAATAATAAAAGAGAAATTTACCTCTGTTCTTTTCTTACATTTCATTATTTCCAAATCCACTTCTCAGAATATGAAAATAGTGATTCATCCATGGGACATCCAGCTTTAAATTGAGTTTTTATATTTCCTTATATTCCCAAAGAAATACAATAAAACAGAGAAATTTACCTCAAAGAGTTTTATTTTCTTAAATTTCATTATTGGTACCCAAACTAGATTTGTTTTTCTCCATATTCTCACTTCTTTCAGCACCCACCCATGCATATACCCTCTTAGCTTTCCACTCTTTCCTTGCTGGCTCCTGGTGGCCCAGCAATGGCCCTGTCGAAAGTGAGAACACTTTTCCATTTGATTCTGGATTAAGACCTCCTCCACCACATACATCCAGCTGGCTTAGTAGCTAAGGCCATTGGATAGACCAGAAAGCAAAAGCCTCCTTCAATCCCTAATCAAGACTCCCTTTTGGGATACTGACCAGGCTTTGTAATAAAGGGTTTTGAGAGCCTCTGGTTCTGTGGGCCTGTTTTCAGGCACAGAAAAGATGTTTCCTAGAGACAGGCTGGTTTAATATACTTCAGTCCTTGACGTGACTGACTTGGGTTTTCATATTTATATAGACAATAAAAATTAAGATTTTTTTTCCCTACCAAAATTTAACTAAAACCTGCTTTAGTGTATTGGATTTAAATCTATTGTCCTTTTTTCTGATTATTTTTAACATGAGAATAAAGCACTGTCACTCTGAAGGAAATTGCTTTCTTCTAATTAAAGTCAATGTGAGAATAAGTTAAATTTTTGAGTGTGCAACTTCCTCAGCACTGTTTCTTCTGTTTGGGTTATGGGTGCTTTTGACCCTGAAGAAACTGCATTGCAGGGAGAGGAGAAGCTCCTGACAGCTGCAGCCTGGGCAAAGCTGCTGAGTTGGCGGGATGGATCTAATTTCACATCTCCCTCTCTGCTGCCTATCATCAGAAAGGAGTAACCTGCCTTGATACACCCAGCTGACATCAAGAGGCTGTCATTCTATTTTAAAGCCACAGCTCTCATTTGTTACCCACCATTGCACAAATTGATTACACGGATATGCTGAGCTAGAGTAGAGCCTCGAAGGGAGCATTAGACATGTTTTTACAATGGCTCTTTTCTCACTGATATTCTCCTCAAGTCTTTCACTTTGAGTTTGGTCAACTAATTTTCTAGGAGTTTATGCTTAGTAAACTCAGTTTAGTTTAAAATTAGTAATTTTAGTTAGTAAAAAATTAAATTAAAATATTTAAAAACCTGATTGACTAAAATGCCATTGTAAATCCAATGTTAGATAGCATGTCTTTTCTGCTCAGTTTTGGAGATTAATCAGTATCTTTCAGCATTATTTTCAGAAATCACAGAATTTCTAAGCTAAAAGAGACCAAGGAGGTCATCCACCCCCACTTTCTCATTTTATAGATAAGGAAGCTGAGAGGAAGGAGGAAATAACTTGCTCAAGCAGAAGCAGAAACAGAGTTAAAACCCAGGTCTCCTGGTTGAAGCCAGGCCAGTCAGTCAATCAGTAATCGTCAATTAAGGGCCACCTATGTGACAGGCACCATGCTAAGCACTGCAGACACAGGTGAAAATAAAGCAGTCCCTATTCTCAAGGTGGTGGTAGATGTTCAGTTGTTTCAGTTGTGTCTGACTCTCTGTGACCCCATTTGGGGTTTTCTTGGCAAAGATACTTGAGTGGTTTGCATTTCCTTCTCCAGCTCATTTTATTGATAAGGAAAATGAGGTAAATAGGGTTAAGTGACTTGCCCAGGGTCACACAGCTGTCTGGGGTCACATTTGAACTCAAGACTTCCTGACTCCAGGCCCAGCACTCTATCCACTGCACCATCTAGCTGCTCCCTGCCCTCAAGGACAGGTGTTCTATAAGAAAACAGAACATTGATCGTCCTTCCTTTTAGAAGAACACCAGTGACATCACATATGCAAAGTAAATGCAAGGAAAGAGATGGAGTGGGTGGAGAGAAGCATTAGTTGCAAAGAGGGTCAGGAAAAGCCTCTTTTAGGAGGTAGCACTGTAGCTAAGTTTTTTTGTTTGTTTTTGGTTAGGCAGTGGGATTAAGTGACTTGCCCAGGGTCACACTGCTAGTGAGTGTTATGTGTCTGAGGCTGGATTTGAACTCAGGTCCTCTTGAATCCAACACCGGTTCTCTATCCACTGCACCATCTAGCTGCCCCTTAAGCTAAGTTTTGACAGCAGCCAGGGATTCAGAGAGATGGGGATGAACAGGGTGGAGACAGCATGGGCAAAGGCATGGGATGAGAGATAGAACATCCTCTTTGAGGACCAGCAAGTAGCACTGTTAAGCTACAATGTTGAGAATGTGGAAGAGGAGTAATGAAGAAAGGCAGACTGTCCCAGATTGGGAAGAGCTTCTAAAGCCTAGCAGAGGAGTTTATGTCTGATCCTAAAGGCAGAAAGAAGCCACCAGAGTTCCGTTGAGCAGGGTAGTGACATGGTCAGACCTTTGTTTTCAGTCTGCCAAAATACTTGTATGCCTTACAGATAGCCTTAAAAGCCCTGATGTGATCAATCATCTCTACTCTTTCATCTTTAATTTCTTCTTCTCTGTTAGCTTCTTTTCTTCTGTCTGAAAATAAATATATATCTATATCTATCTACATATATATACATACACACACACATATATACATATACACATATATATAGTACTTGGAAGTACAGGTCTCACCTGTCCTTAAAAACTGTGCTCCCTAAATAATAACATAATATGTAAAATATATGCTAAGTGCTGAAGTAGATAGAGTGTCATGCTTGGAGCCAGGAAGATTCATCTCTCTGAGTTCAAATGTGACATCAGGCACTTATTAGCGATGTGAACCTGGGCAAGTCACTTAACCCTGTTTGCCTCAGTTTCTTCATCTGTAAAATGAGTTGTAGAAGGAAATGGCAAACCACTCCAGTGTCTTTGCCGAGAAAACCCCAACTGGGGTCCCAGAAAGTCGGATATGACAGAAAAACAACTGAGCAACCGAATGATAAAATAAAACATTTATTTTATAGATAAATAGAATGGAAGTAAGAATGGTGTTCAGATACTCTTCCATTAATAATAGTTGACATTTATGTAGGGCTTTAAATTTTGCAAAGTGTTTTACATACAAGTGAGTCTTACAGAAACTCTTTGTGGTAAGCACTGCCAGAGTAATTATCTCCATTTTATTTAGAAAGGTGAAGTGATATGTCTGTGGTCTCATAGCTAATAATTGGGGGGTATAACAAGCATTTGTTAAGCACTGATTACATGGCAGACACTGTGCTAACCACTTTACAAATATTATTTCATTTGATTTAAGCTAAGTCTTCTTGACTTCCAGTTCAGCACGCTGTCCACTACACTACTTGGCCTTTCATGCCTCTCCCTATCTTCTGTTTTTCTCTTCCCCTTCGTAGCTTGAAGACAAGGTCCCTGAGAGTAGGAAACTATCTTGTTTCTGTGTTTTCATCCATAGTGTAATCCAGAAGGTCACAGAGTAGCCACTTTAAAAAAAATGCTTGTTGATTGGTTTTTAAAACTTCAGGAAGATTAGACTATAACTGATGGCATTTTCTCAGAACAAATCCACTCCTCAACCCTCTGCAGTCTGGCTTCTTTCCACAACCTTCCACCTCATCACTACCCTTTGCCTCTCTGATTAGAAGGTGGAGATATAGACCCCAAACCTTCCTTTAAGGAGAGCTCAGTTCAGACTCCTCATTTCTCACATGGCTGCACTACTTTGGTACATCTCTGATTGACTTCTCCCTCATCGGTACCATCTCCTCCTGTCTCTTCTACCCCCTCCCCCACTTCTTAGCTTCTATTTGTTTGTTGTCTTCCCAACTAGATTGTAAGCTCCTTGAGGACAAGGACTGTATTTTGTTTTTTGTGTTTCTATACCCAGCATGTAGTACAGTGCCTGGCATATAGTAGGAGCTTAATAAATGTTTGTGGATTAATTGATTATTTCCTTATTGCTTTATTGAAATTTCTGTCTACAAGGTACCCTTCTTGACTTTTCAGCAAGATCAGACACTGTTGACCAATTCTCCCTGTTGGTATTCCCTTCTTCCTTGTCTTCTGTGCTCTTCTTACCTCTCCCTTGTTTCTGTTGGGTTCCTTTTCTCTTTCTTCAGCCTAAGCAAGGGTCCACCCCACACACAAGGCTTTGTTCTTGGCCCTCTTCTCTCTCCACATGCTGTCCTTTGGCAGCTTCATCCACTTTCATAATTTTAATTATCACAATTAATTCCTGTAACTGTCTTCTTGGCTCCATCTTCTCCCCTCAGCCCCAGTCTTGCATTTTCAGTTACTCACTGGGCATTGTTGACTGTCTTGCCAGTGCTTCAACTCAACATGTCCAAAACTGAAAGTAATAATTTCCCAGCAACCCCCATACTTACCTTTCATTCTAAATTCCTGTTTCTGTTGATTACATCTTTAGAAGTTCTCCATCAGGCTTTTTTTTTTTGGACTCTTCCTTTTCCTTTCCAATTAATTGCCCAGTTCTGTTGATTTTATCCCCACAGTATTTTTCATCCCTGTCTCCTTTTCTTTGCCTATACTGCCATCATCCTAACCCAAGCTCTTACAACCCTACTCCCTAGGGGAGGAGGAAAAGAGGAAGGGTTAAACCATTCTAATGGAGACCAAATTGGCCTTGACTGTAATTTCTCCCCCTTTCCAATCCATCTTTCATGCCAAGTCTTCACACAGACCTTCCTAATTCATACATCTGACAATTCATAAATCTGACAATTTACAGATCTGCTCAAAAGCCTTCTGTAGGTCCTTGTTCCTTATAAAATAAAAGAGAAACTCTTTACTCTGGCATCTAAGCCCTTTCACAATCTAGTTCCAACATATCTTTCTGACTTTATTTTCTGGACTGTTTCTTCTCTGATTTCATCCTGCATTCTGTAGCCTCCAGGCTTTTGTTGCTCCTCATCTCCCGTGGCTGGAATTAGTTTCTTCTTAACTTCATATCTGCCTGTTGAAATCTCTCTTTCAGGTAATGATTTCTCCATGAATTCCTCCTTCCTTGAACCTCTAAAGTCACTCTGTTTTGTTTCTTCTATAAAAGTTATTATTCATCTTGTAACATAGGTATTTACTTAAGTTTCTCATCTCCCAAATAGATTGTAAACTTCTTGAGATCTAGGTTGTATAATTTTTTTTGCTTTGGTAGTCCCAGAAATTTGTACTTTTTACATGCTTAGTAAATATTTGCTGAATAAAATTGGCAAGACAGGAAACTCCTGAATGCATTTATAATCCCTAATTCTTTAGACTCTTACATGATGGAAATGAGACTTACACTATACTGTATTTTATAGCACCCTGGGTGCAACAACTAATGCTTTCTTCTTATGTTCCACATAATTTTACGTGTGTAATTGATATATTGCTTATCTTCTCAAAGATGGGGGAGGGACAAGAGAGAGGGATGGAAGTTGGGACTCAAAATTTTTAAAAATGAATGTCATTTTTTTACGTGTAATTGGGAAATATTTAACAAAATGAATAAAAATACATTAAATTTTCTTCTTTTGAAAAGTCATGGAAATAATTTTTCTTTAAGTAAAAGTATGATTGTCCATTAATTTGACACCTTTGAATATGAAACAGTAAGTGGACAAGTCAATCCAAAGTTTTTATTCAGTGACTTCACCCATGTGGCTTCTATAGCATCTTGGATTACTAGTCAGGCTAATAAATGTTGGCCTTTCTCTGCTGGTAACTCAAAGTGAAAATTTTGTGATCTTTAAAAATCTTGAGGCCAGCATTTTCAAATAGATATTAATTTCATACCTTTGTCCCAGTGGTTTCAGTACACAATTTGTTAATAATAGTATATGGAGGAAAGGACAGTTTGGCCTTGCCTGTGTCTTCTGAAATTGAGAAGAATAGACAAGTAATATGAATACTTGGGGCTGGAAAACCCACTTTTTCCTCAACTACATGAGTAACTAAGGCTATGAAGATGTTACTGACACTCATAAAAATAACATTGTTCATGTTTTTCTTTATATCAGATACCTTCTCAAACCAGATTTCATGCGACGGCCAGATAGAACATTTGATCCTTTCTCTGAAACACCTGTAGATGGTGTTATTGCAGCTACTTGTTCAGTTCAGGTAAAGATTGGTCTTAAATTTCAGAGTGACCTAAATGTTATACTCTAGCTTTTAAAAAGTCGTATTTATAGCAGATGCACATAAACTCAAAGGGTTCTACTGATTTGTTTATTTGTTATTATTTTACTCCCTCTTAAGACATCTGTGTTTATATGGGATGAGCATAACATTCTCTCGTCTAATTAGAAATAATGTATTACTCATTTAAAATGAGCCAATGAATGATAAGAGATGCCCTGTTCCTTATGGTTTCTGAAACCAGGAAGCATTATGGAATAAATTCTTCCAGTAGTTATAATTTCTATTGGAAGAGCTGTCTAGAAGTAGAACAGGATGCCTCTTGAGATGATGAGCTTTCCATCATGGGAGGTATTCAAGAAGAGATTAGATGATCATTTAATAAGGGATTCTTAAAATGATAATATTGGACTATGAGGAAATTTGTATTCCAGTTGATATCAAGACAAATCCTACTGGGACAAAAGTGTAATTGTTCTTTGTGGTTAATAAATTTCTGTAAAATAGTCATTTTATAATGGGTTTGACTTTGGACCATTTCATCCTTTGATCTTTGTATTGTATTAATAAACATGAATATATATAGTTCTATAAAAACTTAGCATTGAAACTTAAAGTAAATATTTTTCAGAAGTCCCAGGAAGTATATTACCTATAGCTATATTTTTAAATCATCTATAATTTAATTCACTAGTTAGCTGTCCTGAATGTTAGGTCCTATGAAAAAGCTTTGTCAAATGACTTACAGTCAACTGAAATATAAACTAATCCCCAAATACAACATATAGAATAGAAAAATAACACTTATCCTTTAATATGTCACCACCATGTTTGGTTAATATGTTTGTTGTTGAGTTATTTTTTAGTCATGTCTAACTCTTCGTGACCCCATTTGGGGTTTTCTTGGCAAGGATACTAGAGCAGTTTGCCATTTCCTTCTCCACTTCATTTTACAGATGAGGAAACTTAGGCAAACAGGGTTAAGATACTTGCCCAGGGTCACACAGCTAATAAATGTCTGAGACCAAATTTGAACACATGAAAAGGAGTCTTCCTCACTCCAGGCCCTGTACTCCATCTACTGTGCTACCTTGCTGCCTCTTTGGTTAGTATAGGAAGATTTTTTTTTTCATAGCAAAATTCATGAAGTGTAACTGTGTTTTGACCCTGCTGGATCTGTGATTTCATCTTCAGGAGGAACTCTCTTTGTGAAATCTTCCTCCACCAGTGCAGATTAGCGACCTGTTTTTTTGTTTTTGTTTTTGTTTTTGTTTTTACCAGGGCTTGGGAGTAGGGATGGTTGTTAGTGAAAGGGTAATTACTGTGCCCAGGGTCTCAAAGATAGAATGAACCAATGTTAGGATTTGAATTCAAGGCTTTCTGACTCTGAGACCAGTTCCCTATCCATATCTGTATCATGTTTTATACTTTTTTCAAAACACTTCCGTATTCATTACAATCTTGAACATACACTTCATAATATATTTGAATTTTATAAATATTACATCTTATGCCAGACTCAGTAAATATTCTCATGAAGATTCACAACCCTAATTAGGGCTAAGGTCTTATTGAAATTAATATTTAGGTAGCTTTTATATAGTGCTTTAAGGTTTGCAAAGGACTTTGTAAATATATCTCATTGTATCCTCAAAGCAACCCTGGGAGGTAGGTGCTATTATTATCCCCATTTTACAGATGAGGAAACTGAAGCAGACAGGTTACGTCCCATATCCTAGGGTCATAGAGCTATTAAGAATCTGAGGTTAGATTTGAACTCAGGTCTTCCTGATTCCATGTCCAGCACTCTCTCCACTGTGCAACTCTAGCAGGACTACAATTCGTAAATTTGTTCACTATTTAATACTATATGTGTTATCTAGAGCAGCGATATCAGAGTCAAATTGAAATAGATCCTTGCAGGTGGCATGTTGACTTAGATAATATTAAATGGTGATTTTCTATGTTGTATTATATTTTGTCAAACATTTTCCAATCATATTTTAATCTGGTTCATCCTCTAATCAGAAATTTGGGGGCTAGGGTCAGTGGGCTTCATATTTGACATCTCTGACCTAGATTTTAGTCTTAAGCGGAAATGTTTCTTTTTAAAATAGAATTATTCATATTGAGAATCACTGTCACATACATGTTTTGGATCTAATGCTACTGTCTAGATATTAAATCAGTGCCCTTATCTCAATGTAGTTGACTGTGGGGGCTTCAGGAGTTAGGGGGTTTGGGGTTTGTTTGTGTTTAAAGCACTCAAACACTGCTGTCATCAGAGTTGTATTTTTATTTCAGGTTATATCAGGGCAATTCTTATCCGATAAGAAAATTGGTACGTATGTAGAAGTGGATATGTATGGTTTGCCTACAGACACTATACGGAAGGAGTTCCGGACGCGTATGGTTATGAACAATGGTCTCAATCCTGTTTACAATGAGGAATCATTCGTATTCCGAAAGGTAGGATATTTTCAATGTGTCTGGCTCAGTACACTAACTTTTGAGCCGTATTTTAGACCAAAGAAGACGTAAGGTGTAGTGGCTGAATTAATCCACAAGCTTTTTTTTTCTTCCCTTCTTCGTCTTCTTCTTCTTCTTCTTCTTCTTCTAATGGATAAGTTCTGTAGCTGTCATATGATATTTTTTTTTCTGTTTGGCTTTTCCTTCTTTTTGGCTTTCTCCTCCTTCTTGGGGGAACCCACTTTCTTCGTTGACAATGCCTGTGCTCCAGGTATGCAGTCTGCTCAGAATGAGCCCCCGCTGGCGGACACCAACATTCCTTGGAGATGTCTTCTTCCCTGCCCTGGCAGTGGCTGGTATCTTGCACTATTCCTTCAGCCAAGAGGGCAGGTGAGATGCTGGATCCAAAGCTGCATCCCAAGTCAATGTCTTTCCATGGATAAGTTGGTATGGTGCTGCTCCTCCCAATCTTGTGGCACCTGCCTCCACCTGTAGACTGTGTGCATCATGTATTTTTCCCCCACTTATCCTAACAGTGTATGCTGGGTCCCAAGAGAGATCACAGTCATCATCTCGAATGTTTGGTTTTTATCTCTCAGTTGTATTTTTTTTTATTTATTTGTCAATTGGAGTTTCATCAAAAATCCATGCGTCAACAGTGCTGTCTTCAAGAATGTCTGTTTTCTCTCCTCACTGTTCTGTCGTCCCACCTGAAGTGATTATTTTTCTCTTTAGAGACAGGGTTTTGTTTTTGTTTTTTCCAGGTGACCATGACACTAAAACATTTTCTATGTATCATGCAACAAAGATAATCTGTTTCCCTCAGCATCATCTCATAGTATTGACAGGCAGTGTGGTGTAGGAGAGTGGGATTCACAGGACCGGGCTTGAAATCGCAGCTACCACTTGCTTGCTACCTGTGTGACCTAGGGTTAGTCACTTAACCTCTCAAGCCTCATTCTCCCCATCTGAAAAAATGAGAGGAGTGAGTTGGATGGGTGAACTAGGATCTTTAAATCTCTGATCCCTAATTTCTCTTTGAGTTCTAGATCTTGTGGTCCTGACAATTTAGAGTATCTAGTTAAAGTAGAATAATTTTCTTCCTGGGTCCTAACACCGGCAAATATGCTTAGCAATTCACTACCACCTATTGGTTTAGCAGGCTCAGTGCAGATGAAACTAGCCCATTCAGACCATTTTGGACTCTGGTTTGTCTATTGGGCTGAATGTCTATAAACCTAGCCTTTAATCTTATTTCTATATCCTCTGTAAGGTGGTATCAGATTGAGACATATATATATATATATGTGCACATTTGTCTATTTCTATATCCTCTGTAAGGAGGTATCTGATTGAGATATATATGTATATATGTTTGTGTACACACACACACACACACACACACACACACACACACATCCTTCATTACTTTGTAAATTGTGGCTTTCTTGGTTGCCATGACTGAATCTATTGCTGGTAGGAGAAATTTTCCTCGGTATAACTTAACCTCCACACACTTTTCTAAAAATATAAAGAGATAATTAATAAATAATAATAACAACAATAATAATAGATGGCATTTATGTGTCACATTAAGGTTTGCAAAGAGCTTTTCACATTTTTGGAAAACAGTTGCTGGACCTGGAATGAAGAGGATTTGAGTTCAAATCTAACCTCAGACACTTACCAGCTGTGTAACTCTGGGCTAGTCCCTTCACTGTTGTCTGCTTCAGTTTCCTCATCTATAAAATGGAGATAATAGCACCTACCTCCCAGGGTTGTTTTAAGGATCAAATGAGATAATATTTGTTAAGTATTTTGCAAACCTTTACATGCTGTATAAATGCTAATTGTTGTTAGTGTTATTTTCATTTGAACCACTTAACATACCTATCAACTACAGATACTACTATCCCCATTTTACAGATATTAAAACTGAAGCTAAGAGAGGTTACAGAATCAACTCTCTGATTTGAAAAAGGCCACCTAGTCCATCCTACATCTAAAAAAAGATTACCATCTACCACATCATTCAGCCTTTCTTGGAAGAATCCTTGAGGCATTTCCTTCTACTTTTGAATAGATATAATTATTAGGAAGCTTCCCCCCAACACTGGCCTTAAATCATGCCTAAATTTTCCTCTTTACAGTGATGTCCTTTTCCTCCTAATTCTGATTTCATACCAAATAAAAAGGTTTATTCCTTGTGTCATCCTTCCTATAATTAGGTGATTTGCTCATAGTCACACAGCTACAAAATATCAGAGGCAGGATTTGAATCCAGGTGTGACTAACTCCAACACTCTCTGTGCTGCCACAGACCCTCTCAATAATGAACATGGAAAACTGAGAAACATAGAAATTTCCCGTTTTTCATCATATGGCCAAACCCTGGCCTATGAAGAGTTTTGTTGCTGTTGTTGTTTTATTTTAGCATTTTAGAACTAAAATTCTGTTCCATTTTATACTACAACTTGCATTAAAAACAAGAACAAAACAGTTTTTTCCCTTTCCTTTGCAAGAATCCCCACGAAGGAAACACATAGAGGGAGTGGTTAAATGTTAGTTGAGTCTCAGATTTTCATTAAATCATCATGAACTCAGATTAGGATTGTGAACCGTGGAGTTGGATGGGTTTTACATAGGCCATTAAGACATTGTGCATATCTTTAGCCAGAATGTTCAGCTTGACCCAGATGAGTCGACTCCTCCCATGCCAGTGAGAAGGTCCTCACTGACTCCAGAAGGTACAAAATGTATGGAGTTTTGTTTTAATGTCTTGCTATTTTGTATTAGAATAAAGCTTCTGCCATTTAAACTCAGATTTTTGTGTCTAGTCATTCTGTTTGGAATGAAAGGAGATGATGTCTTAGAGAGGTCAGAGTATGTTATAATTTATGACTGGCAAATTTTTTTTTCAGTTTGATATCCCAAAATCTATCTTAAGATTTCTGAGTTTCAGAGTCCTAACTCACATGGCCTATATTCATGGATTAATGTTCTTCAAGATATGGATAATTGTTTCAAGGGTACTTTCCATACCCTTAAAATCAGGAGGTAGGCATTGGGGTAGCAGAAACAATATCGGACTGGGAAGTGGACTTGGGTGCTTGTCCTGGTTCTGGCACTAACTTGCCATGTAACCTTGAACAAATCACTCTCTGCGTTTCATTTTCTTCATCAGTAAAATAAGCAGATGGGACTAAATTCTCTAAACATTTTTTTCTAGCTCTAAAATGCTGTGACTGTTTGACCAATTACTTCCCAACAATTGAATGAAAAATCAATCTGACACTAGGATCTTAAATATGTTCAGTGAATATATATTCTGTCCAGTGATGGTAGAGTAGTCAGAGCTATATGGTTGGGGCCCCAAGTAACTGGAACAATGACACACGGGAACTGACAGTATTTCTAGGTCTGTGAAAACTACCTTTTTTTGATGGACAGGTTATCCTCCCTGATCTGGCTGTCTTGAGAATAGCTGTGTATGATGACAACAACAAGCTGATTGGTCAAAGAATCCTCCCCCTCGATGGCCTTCAGGCCGGCTACAGACACATTTCTCTTCGAAATGAAGGGAATAAACCATTATCACTGCCAACTGTTTTCTGCAACATTGTGCTTAAAACATATGTGCCGGATGGTTTTGGAGGTAAGGCAAACATTTGCAAATGGATTATGATATGTAGGTTTTCCAAAAGCCAATAATTTGAAAAGCCCCAAAAACATATATTTAGAAATGCAAAATTATCTTTGAGGTCATCTAGTCCCACAGCCTTATTTTAGTATTAAGGAAATAGGCCCTGAGAGGTCAGTTGACTTACCTGAAGTCACATTAGTAATTAGTGGCAATGTGATCTGAACTCAGGTCCTCTGACTCCAATATAACACTTTTCTCCCTGTACTACACTGAAAAGTTCTACTAACAAATAACTTTGGATAAATTACTTAACCTCTCTCAGCTTCGCTGTTAACTGATGAAATGGGAAGGTTTGAACTAGATAAGAAGGCCGTTTTAGCAGTCTCTTATTCTAAGTTGCCTATTAATCCTTACAAATGTGTTTGAAAAAGGGTGCATCCACACTGGCAGTCAGAGCAAACTAAAGAATATAAAGTCAGCACTTCGTGAGTGGCAGCATCTATACACAACCTCACCAACAGATGTAAGTTATATTCATCCATCTCTGTGCCTGAGTTTTCCTTCAGATCCACAAGAGAGCATTGCTTTAACAGGAGCTCTATCACCAAACCAGAAGCTGTTCATGGTTTAAAGCAAAAACTTGAAACAAACTCTGAACCAAAAACCACAGTAAACTGAATATTTCTGCTGACCCCTGGTTGAACCCATTTTAAAAATTAAACCATTTAAACTTACTAAAGATTAACGAAAACAAATAAGCAAACATTCAGCCAATCTGAACCAAAACTGAACCTATAGATTTTCAAAATCTGTCAGCTATAACATTACAATGATCTCAGCAGAAACATGAATTACAGTATTGTAAAGATGATGTAGCCTAACACTGTCATTCCACAAATGGAGAAATTGATTCCCATCAAGTTTGCAACTTGTCCAAGGGCACATATGTATCATCCAGTCAGTATCTGGTGCATGCATTAATGCTCATCTATCCAGTAAAATGTAAACTCCTTATGGATAGCAGCCACATTTCATATTCTAAACACATTACAAAGAATCTTGAACTGGGTAGGTGTTTAGTTAGTGCTGAATGTATCTGGAATTTATCCTTCCAGCAACTGTAGCTTTACCAATTTCAAAACTGCCCTAAACTAGCAGGAAGTAAAAAAGACTTCTGAGAGTGGCCAAAACTTGTCTATTGGTGAAGCAAATTTGGCCTTTTAAGTCTCACCCAAACGGTGATATGTAAAATAAAGCAGTAGATCAGAAGGGAGAAAAAAATGAGGAAAAATAGAAGGGGGAGGATACAGAACAATATCAAACAGCCTGAAGAATTCTTAGGATCTGTACTGTGTATGCCAAAGTATCAAAAAGTCCTACACACCTCGGCCACCCAAGAGAGTGTCACTGTGTTAGAGCACAATATACTAATTATGTACTATTCATAGTGATTACTGTGAGTCAGCAAGAGCAGGTTAAATTATGTACTCTGTTCTCTGTTTAAGAAAGCAGAAAAAGTGTAGTACATTTTAGAAATGTTTCCATAAAAAACTGTTAAATTTTTAAGCTTTGACACTTTATGGGATAAGCTTAATTTATCTTTAAAATTTACTTAAGTGAGATATTTCATTGCCCTATCGTGCTAGATAAATGTGACTTTCATGGGATCATCAGGTGATTTAGAACTTTCTAGTCTTGATCCAAAAGTATTTGGAAGCCCTGATGATAGAATTTCCATTCTTCATTTAAGTAGAGATTTGGACTATTTTCCCTAATCCTAGGACTTTTTCAAGTTTGCCACATTTAGTACAGTGGACGTTGTAATTGGAATCTTTGTCCATCCATGGTAGTGATTGACCTGCTGTTAACTATTTAGTCTTAAGTTTGATATTCACCAAGTAATCAGTCAGGGATTCTTGGCTATTTGCTTACCATCAAGACCAAAGAAGAAACGTGACAGGTTAAAATTGACCTTCTTGGACCTTAGAGAAGTTTAATTCAAAAATGGAATGAGGCCTTCCATTTCCTGATGGAAACAACCAAGAATGAGTCATTGATTTGAGTACTGGGAATTCATTTCAGGTCTTCATCTATTAAAGTGGAAAAACTGTAGGAAGCCATGGAAACCAGAGTATCAAATTTTGTCTTTGAAATCCTTGCATACACAAATCTCAGATTAAGTTCTGACTTAGCATTATGTAAAATTCGAAATCACCACTATGGGAGAATGCTTTGGAGCAGTGGTGTCAAAGTCAAATAGAAACAGATTCCTGCAGGTAGCATATTGTCTTAGAAAGCCACAAATGAACATTATCTATATTGTATTTATGAGGCCCCCAAGTTTGACACCTCAGTTTTTGTATCCAAAGCATTCTGCCTCCACACCATGGTCAATTCCAAAGAACAAATTCAAAATGAAACTTCTACCTCTTGACATACCAGCATTCTGTGTAGAAAGGTCATGGGCAGAAGCATTACAGTCTCCCTGGTCCAGTGGGAATTTATGGAGATTCTTTCCTGCTAAGAATATAGGAGATTCTACAATGATAACTATACAGTATGTTACAGAAGTTAGGAGAATGAGTCAGGCTGGAGATTTTACGTGAAGAAATAGGGTTCAGTACAAGGGGCAGCCATCTTTTTTCATGGGGCATGTGAGATAATGTCTTATTGTTTAAAAATGGACAAGGGAAATATATCTTTATTTTAAAAGATGCTTTTAATAAGTTACTTGCTCCATGTGAACAATTTGGCTCATTTGGGAAATCAAGTCCCTCTTTGAGGGCATAAGGTGACGATCTCTAAAATTATTTATTTGTAATTTTCCAGAGAGTATATTGGTTCTGATAGCCTTTGAGGGTCATACAGCAAGTTCAGTTTCATTTCTTGGCTTAACTTTTGTCTTCTGAGGAAATTCCATGTGCCCCCACACTTCTGTATTTTGTAAAACATTTAATTAAAAACTTTCTCTGGCATTATATTGCCTCATTACAAATAAAACATCCTCAAAGGCACTTATTAAATTTCCCAAAATGGCCTTACCATTTTCTAGAGAAATACTCTTTTTATGAGACCTGAATCCTAAATGTTTATATGAATGCTATAAGTCACCTACAGTCCTATACAAATAGGTCCATAAATACATTTCAGTAAACCAGTCAGATTCATCAGAAATTAGTACTGTTCAGGTTTGTACTGTTTACAGGAACTTCATAGTTGTATTTTACAGGATATTTTGTGTTGCTATCCAATTTGGTTCAATTCAATAAGCATTTATTAAGTATCTACTATATGTAAGGCACTATTCCAGGCTCTAAGAATACAAAATAAATAAATAAAAATGGTCCCTGCCTTAAAGAGCTGTTACTGAGACAAAAAAGGCATATATTACAAAAATATATTTTATAAACTAGCTACCTTGGTATTACAGAAAAAAATCCCAAATATTCTTCATTTATGTTTGATTTTCTTTTGTCTTAAGAGTTCTAAAGTTCATTATTTATTTCCTTATTAAAAAATGTTTAGTTGAGAAAATGTTTAATTCACTATCAGCTAAGAGGTCTCAGATTTGAAATGTCTTAGTAATATTCAGGTCTGTCATTAAGATCCAGGAGCCCCATGTACTATGTAAAGATTTTTTTAAAAGATTTTTAAAGATTTATTTTAAAGATTATTAAAGCTTCAGTAAGTTGAAATTTTTGTGACTTCATGAATATAAGTACTTTCTCCAATGATACATCCTATACAATTCTTATTGCCCATGTCTCCTCTTAAGTCTCCTATAGGAAATCTACTCTTTATGTCCATTTAACAGTTTAGCACTTCCCAGTTTATGCATCTGTTATATGACCAGCCAGTCTCCTTTATTGTTCCTACATTCCCAGGTAGTGTTCCTAGTGCCATTTCCTGTGTGCGTGCTATTATGGTTAATGTGCAGAATCCTAGCTTGTACTATGCCCACTGTGAGTTTCTTCATTGCCTTTTAGGTCACTGGCATTTTTAGTTGTTCACAGATTGTGAGGTTCCATGGCTCCTCGCCATGCAGCATTACCAGGAGAAGGTTGGTGTTAAAAAGATAGATTTCAAGTCAGGGAATAGCTTGAGACCATTGAAAGTGCTGCATTATTGTGCACTGAAGTGCCTATCCAAGGCATGTACTGAAGGACTAGTTCTGTATTAGCCCATATGTTAGCAAGTTGTGGGTTTACCTGTATATCACAGTCTGGACAACAGGCATTTTTGGACAACTTGGGTTTTCCTATGTAAGTTATTAAATAGGGGAAAGAGGATAAATATTCATTAATGAGAAAAAATATATTGCTGATCCACTTTCTAAAAGATAACACCAGAATTGATAGCTCTCACTAGAACTGGGTAATTGGTGTTGCATGCTATGGAGTCATTCTAAAGTCATCAACCAATCAATTGAGTGCTTATCACATGCCAGGTGCTGTTCTATATGCTAGGGACGCAAAGAAAAGCCAAAAAAAAAAAAGCCATCCTTTCCCTCAAGGAGCTTACATTCTAATGGAAAAGATAAGTATACCCAAATTGGTATGTATAGAGTAAATGGAAGGCAGCTCTAGAGGCACTCAGAGCTGAGAAAACTAGAAAAGGCCTTCTTCAGGAGGTTGAGCTGAGTTCTTTTAAAATTCAAGGATTTGAAAATGTGGAGGTGAAGGAGAGTGAGCATTCCTTTAATGGGAGACAAAGAAGGCAAAAACATAGAGATGAGCATCATATGTAAGTAAATCAATATGGCTGGCTCATTGAGTACATTAAAGAGAGTAATGTGTTAAGAGTATGGAAGTTAGAAAGGACCAGGTCACCAACAGCTTTAAATGACAGAAGACTTTATATTTGAGCCTAGATGTGATAGGGAGCCATTGGAGTTCACAGGGAGAGGGAGTGAAATAGTCAGACCTATACTTTAGGAAAAGCACTTTAGCAGGTGAGTGAACAATAGCTTAGAGGAGGAGCGGACTTGAGGCAAGGAGAATAACCAAAAGACT